ATTTGTGGGAACCACTAAAACTGAACAACTTTATATTTAACAACTCAGAGACTTTTTACATCTCTGTTTTGGAACAAGTTTTCTATTTAACAACTCAGAGACTTTACATCTCTGTTTTGGAACAACTTTTATATTTAACAACTCGGAGACTTTTTACATCTCTGTTTTGGAACAACTTATGTAATAAAATTGAACATGGTATATTTTTGCCTATAGAGGCGAAAAATATACAAATACAAATTGAATTTATTGAATTGATATTAAGTAAACGTTCTTTGCTATAAGATCAAAAAATTATTATTTGAAATAGTAGAACAATTAGAAAATAAATCGTTTGAAAATAATTTCGAAAGTCTTACTTGATAAACTATATTCAAACGATTTATTTCCAAAGTATTGTTTTATGTCAAACATGATCAGGGGGGTCTTGAAACGTGTATTTACGTGTCAATTTTTCATTCAATATGGGCTTTGCTTATATATTTGTGTCTATATAACTTGAATTTAAATTCAAATGGTAATGAAAAATCAATGACGCATGTTTGTACATTATTTTTTAATCCTGGACTCGTTAATGGTACTTCTCTAAGATTAGATAGGGACAGTAATGGGGAAGAAAATTTAGTGTCAGTGCCTTCTGGTTCGTAACATTTAAGCTTTTTATTACAGTCTCTCATCATGTATTTCATGAAACCTCTCCTTCTATTAATTCCTGATTGCAGAAATGCATATATAACTCTAATAATTTTTAAACTTATTACATTGCTCAATGGATAGGAATAATCCTCTATTTGTACAGGACAAATATATAAACGTCGAACCAACAAGTCCATAAAATATGCAGGATAATTGCCCATAAGAAATTCATCTACAAACAAATTAGGTACATTAGCTAGTGCATTAGTGGTAGCAGATTCTGACCCCTTTAAGCATGTCTAATATTTCAACTTCGTCTTCTTCCTCTTCTTCTTCTTCTTCTGCTGATTCAAAGTCTCCATTTTATCAGTTTCTTCTATGTACATTAGAATGTGTTGTGGCACGAGCTGCATATTCCTGTGAAAACCCCAATGGAAGTAAGCAAGTATTTCTGTAGATGCATTTGTATAGCCATTTTTTGTCTTACGGTTTTAGGTGATCTACATAGTATTCCAATGAGTGCTTTGTCCAAGGTGTAGAATCCGCTCAACCATTGTAAAGTTGCTTCTATACAATACTGACGATTACTATACCTTTTTCTTGTTATTCGTCGTATCTTTAAATAACGAAAGAGGTTTCTAAATGTAACACGTTTTACATAATCATTGCCTAGTAATATTGCAGCTAATGGCAGTGTAGATTGACTTAAACCTCTATAAGAATTTAATAAGTGTTCAACTTTATAAATTTTACTACGTTTCGTGTAACCATTTCCAGTTGAACTTTTCATCGTGTAATTGTCCAATGTATCAAATGGTATGTGCAATGCCCCAAACACATAAAAGTCTGAATCATAACTCCATAGAGGACAATTCAATATCCTTGCTACAGTAGCTATAGCATTATCAGCTTCGAATAACTTTAACAAATCGTCAAAAAAATCCGATACTCGTTGAGCGTATTTATCGTAATCACCGCCAAAAACACAATTGCACTTGTACGAATTATATATTTGACAGCTAAATAACTAAATACATATCACGTAGCTCGAAATATTCCAAATAACGATCTGAACGATTGTTTATGAAAGTTGTTAAACCTGGAATACCCATTTTGAAACCTATTTATTAATTTACACTTTTCTTAATGTTTCATATCACAAACTAAGTTCGTTATGCGTATATCAATATTAGTTATTATGCATTTATACATAGGTTGCATGTAACAGGTAGTCAAATTGTGTGTTATTCGTTATTTTATTTGAATCAAAAGTTTGTTAAATATTATACTTTGACTACTTGGATAAATCAAAGAAATACAAGAGCTGTGCATAATGTTTTTGCATTGATCTTTACGATATTAAAAACCGGTATAATAAAAATAAAATTAGATAGTATACTGATCTTGCATAATTAAGTGCATTGACGGGCGACAATACTAACGACGAATTTCCTTCCTATACGTATAGGCAAATATACCATGTTCAGGTTTATTGCATAACTTGTTCCATAACAGAGATGTAAAGTGTCTCTGAGTTGTTAAATATAAAAGTTGTTACAAAACAGAGATGTAAAGTGTCTGTGAATTGTTAAATATAAAAGTGGTTACAAAACAGAGATGTAAAGTGTCTCTGAGTTGTTAAATATAAAAGTTGTTACAAAACAGTGATGTAAAGTGTCTCTGAATTGTTAAATATAAAACTTGTTACAAAACAGAGATGTAAAGTGTCTCTGAGTTGTTAAATATAAAACTTGTTCAGTTTTGGTGTTCAGTTTTGGTGTTGTTCCCAAATATGAGATTTTCTTGGTCTTTAAAAAGACCGGTTTGTCCCTTGGCCGCCATCTTCGATTTTGATTGAATGGAAATCTTCAATTAAATTCTTCATCTCGATACGGTCCGTCTTGCTTGGTGGTTGAGGGATATCTGGCGCGGGTGCGCCAGGGGGCACGGTTTTTATAGAATTTCTTGAAGCCGGAAGGCTGCTGACTGGCTGCTGATTGGCTCGTTGATTCTTTGGCTTGACTGCATAAAAGTGGACACAGCTGGGCAACTCTTTTCAGTACTCCTGGAACCGCCGGGGGTACTGTCACGCGTTTTTCTTTCTGTTTCAGATTCTCTGATTCTGCGATGCTGACCAGGAAGGATCACCGTTTGGTATACGCATAACCAATATTAATATAACTAATCCCAATATTGTCTTTTTCATTTATATATATATAGGTGATGTAATATTTGGGTTGTTCGTTCCACTAATTTATTCAATTATTTTCCTTTCAGGTTTTATCTATACATCGTTGGTTTGATATTTTTCCAATTATTTTGTTATTCGTCTTGCGCTTCGTTGGGTTGTTCCTTTCCAAATTAATCTATTATTGCACATCGTTGGTTTGTTTTTTTCCTATTAATTCGTTTGTTTATCTTACTGCGTTGGGTTGGTCAATTCATTCCTTCAATCAATTAGGTTTTGGTTTTGATTTTCATTTCTTATTTAGGTTATATTTTTTTACATGTATTATTAATATGTAACTATTAATTTTTACGTTAGTTTTTATGCAGGTCAATTTCTAGGTCGCCAACAGATGACGTCGGATTCATCGTTAAACGTAAGCGATTAATTTTAAGGCGCGGCGCGAATGTAAAAATTAACGTCGAATTTTTCTTTTTCCTTGTTTCTTTTTCCCAGATTTCCTATGTTTCATTAATTCACATTAATTCTCAATTCCACCTACGACGTTAATTTTCAGTTTACATTGTATATTATTTTATTTAATGCGTAGATTGCCAAGTAATGAATGAATTAATAGCTTCTTTTCCAGTCTCGTTTCTCCGGTCACCGCTGCTTTAATGTAGAAAGCAAGTGATCGGCCGTTTAGATGGTTCGAAGGGTCGGTTGCCGTCCTCTGGTGAGACAATTCTAGGGAAAGAGTCATCGGCCGTAGAGGGGACCTGTTCCTGTCTGCGGTAGCCCCGATTCAGGATCTCTCTCCTTTGTCAGACGTCCCGGGTTGGGTCCTACGGGCTCCCAGCAGGACGCGTTGGAGAAATGGGGAACCCGTGTCTGGTGCGTCGATTCTCCTCCCCTTCAATTGGACTTGCTAAGAGGTAACGAGCTGCCCCTTTTGACCCGCTATTCGGTACGTGTCGCACCTCATGTTCCTACTGCACTGTGCAGTATTGTGTCGCGTTTCGTCGTGTCGCGTCTCCCACAATTTACCTTCCTCCTTTGTTTTAGAACAGTAATTACTTGGCATCTTTTTTTTTGCGTAATCTAGTGTGTAAAAAGGAAGGTCGATCGAACTTTGTTCCATCGATCTCACTTTGGGTCTCCACTCGCAGCAACCTCCTCGTGGTGAGACCTGGTAATCGGTGTTACCTTTGAAGAACAACTTCTTCATTATGGGTAACACCGAGCTAATGGCTGCGAATTTAAAACAATATAAATTTGATTTTTAATCTAAATCAAAATTAAATGTTGTCTAATACTTTTTTTTTCTAGGTATTCATCAGCTCAACTTCTAGAGAAAAATTTCAATGAGATAAGTTTTACTTTATTTATTTTCAAAAATCGTATTAATAATATACATACGTGTGCTCATACATGGGAATAAAAAAAAATTTCTTTTTTTTCAATAATTAAAATATGATCAGGAGGTCTTAAAACGTATATTTCCGTAAAATAAATTTTACAAAATTTTTTTTTCATTATGGGTACTTTGCTTATGTGCGCCTACATAGGTCGGAAAGTAAAAATGCCTGGGAAGTCGAGAATCTCGGCTCGAGAATCCAAATCGTATGCCGTTGTCGGGAGGTCGGATTTCAGTTGTGTGGGAGCGAGAAGGCAAATGTGAGCCTTTCTCTCTCGACTTCCACGAAGCGAGAGAAAGTGGGCATGCGTCTGTTTGCCTTTGTCGTCTTTCCGAAACTCCACGAGCTCACGTACATACGCGTATCTGGCACTGCCCTCTTGACACTGCAACACATATTCCCAGTTTCTACGTTTCTTTGAGCAAATACACGATTTAACATCGTGTCAAGCATAATACACATTAACTTGTTGAGACTATATGTACGTCAATTTAATTAATAACAGTGTCTAAAGCTTATTATTAGAATAACTAGAGTAGTGTCCACATAACTGACCACGCTATCCCCTATCAATGCCCCTTACACCATTCGCGGACATTTAAATGGGCACCACCCCTACCTAATTCGCTGTATATCTATATATATCAAGACGACATCTACCACAAAACGGCCAAGTTTGTCGAGAAAATGTAATTCACCTCTTTGCACACTAGATGGCGTCTCAATTATTTACGATCGAAAACTAATTTTAATTTATTTATTAATGCAACAATAGAGTACTCGGTAATTTAGATCACTTATAAATGCTTCACAATTAACGCTAAAGGCCCGAACTTGTCTAGAAGCGTGTAGATCGATCGAACCTGCCGACTGAGCCGACTAGTCGCCCGAGTCGAATGAGTGTCAGCAAGCGGTGGTAATTTCTGTATGGTTAAAGTGCTGTCCTAAACTAACCTTTAATGGAACCAAAAAAACCGGCAAAAAATGTCTCGAAATGTGTAAAAAGTATCTGTCCATCGGCAGAGGAACTTAGCGTGATTACGAATAATGTTAAATGCGACAAATGTGGACTCATATTTCAGAACGAGCCGCGATATCGTTTACATGATCTAAAAGTACATCAGCGTAAAAATTTAGACAAAGCGATAAAAGAAAATGTACAGTTTCACTGCCCTATCAAGTCTTGCATTTACGCGCCAAAAGCTGAAAGACATTTTAGTAGTATGAAGTATCTTAAGCAGGTTAGTGAAAACTTTCATAAAGCTATACAAGATTATTAATTGTAAAGTAATATTTAATGTTCGAATTTTTTAAATATATTTAGCACTACCTCAAAGTACATGCAAAAAAAACTTATGCGTGTAATCGTTGTAAAAAAAGTTTTTCTACGGAAGCTGCTAAAGAGGGTCACGCTAGAGTATGTGGAATTGAATTTACATGTTCTTGTTTAAAGATTTACTCTTCTTACGAAGCATTGCTTACGCATGCAAAACGATCCTTGCATACTATAAATGACAAATACAAAAGTTCTTTCGGGTAAGCCGATTATAAAAAATAAATACTTAAATGTAATTGTTAATTGAATTGTACTTTTCGTATTACTATTAATTTCTATTGTAATTTAAATATTTTAGCAGACGTGCCAATTCCAAAGCATTGCGATTGATTTTACCATCTAGCCACGCAGAGACAAATAAACTAATCGCGATACTGCCGACGAATCAAAGCGAAAGTAAAATATCCAATTGTAATGGTAGCTATGAGCAAAAAATTACTTCCGATATTGGTGTGCAAACGGACGAAAACAAGAGAAACAAGAGAATATCGGGTCAATTAAAACATATTAATAATGGTTATTATTACAATGGAAAACGTGGAATATCAAAACAGACGCAAACAAATATTTCTCAAAGAATTAAACAAAATGTTATGTCCATGGAAACGCAGACCACGGATGCTTTCCATGCGATAAAAAGTTCACGCAAGATTCGAAAACCTCGAAAAAATTCTGTATCGCAAAATTCGGATTATACGTTACTGAAAGAAGACTTGAATCTTGGCAATTTCACATCCTCAAATTTATTCCCTAACAGTCCATTACCGCTTAGTCACGATGTTGGTTTACAAGATTTTTGGGAAGAAAAGAGTACGTCGGGCACTCAAACGATACCTGAAAAAGATATGTTCGAAGCTCTAAATGATAATGTTACTCAAACAGAATTTGAAACATTTTATGATCATAGTACCAATCCATTGATACAATGCGTTCCAAAAAGTACAGTCGCTCTCATGACTTTACCTTATGTCGAAGAAACAGCAACAACTGTCGGAGGATATTCCTTTGTGCCATCTAATAGTATATCAAGATCAGATCCTATGCTTACGGATAAAACTTTCGATGATAAATTTAGCAGTATAGAGACTCAGACGGAACAAGCTTATTCTCAATCATTTTTCGATTCCGATACTTTAACAAGATCGTTTGCTTTGAGTTCTAATATTGAAACGCAAACTACCAACAATCTTGATAACATGGAACAACTATTATATAGTAATACGTGCACGCAAACTTGTAACGATATAATACCGTCCGACTTAGGATTATCTAATATTCAAACACAAACAGCATGGACCGAACTCGAGGACACTACCGTTTCTACCGAAACGCAAACAAAATCCTTAATATGCGAAACTGGATGCAACATTTCGATAGGTGTATGTCGTTCCTGGCTAAGTACTCAAACTAGTCACACTGAAACACAAACAGACTTGCTTAGTATTTTTGAAGGTCTTCAATAATCAACTATTTCATTTTTATGCACTATACAGCGATATAATCACCAATATTTAGAATGCATATTTCAAGTATAAACTCAAAATAATTTTCTTTCTATTATAGATTGATTACTTTTTTTTATCTTATTTAGTACTTTGCTATTTCATATACGTTTTACAAACTGATGATGTACATTCCTGTGTACGTGCAAATCTTTTAATTAAATATTCCAGACTATTTTCCAGAAAATAGTTCATTTAAAACCTTCCGTCGCACAATATTCACTCACTCTCATATATTCAACGTATAGTTTATACATATGTTAATAATAAAAATATATTGTAGTAGCAATGTAATTCTGTTATATGTAACTTGTTAATAAATCTATAAATTTAAAAGTTACACTTCACGAGCGTACTTATTTTAATTTCAATTTTCAACTGGAAAATAAGCTTTAAAATAATTTTAATCAATGATTTTAAACATATTCAAATTTCAAGAATAATTTTCTTTCTTTCATTATCGCAAAGCGAGAAATTAATATTACGATACACGATAGACTGCTCTACATCTAACACTCATCGCAATAAACATTAAAAAATTGTTTTTTAACAATTACGCTGGAATTGTATTATGAATCCTTACCAATATTATTTCGTGTTACAGATTTTTATCAAAGCGTACATACAAAAGTTAAAATCTGTAGACTTTTGCGTAGAGTTATTTCGCGATACGAAAAGGTATGCTTTGATAAGCAGGAGCAATGATTTCTAACTATTATATGTATATTTGTGAATGTGTAAATTGGAAAACGAGAGGTATCGACGCATCAAGATACAACAGACATGATATGAACATTGTGCTTTCCAATAAAATGTATTACTAATCGATTTCAGAACGAATTTTTAGAAACATGTGAACGTGAACGCGTGAATTCGAGGAACTTATTAGCACAGGCTGGGATATGTTTCTTAGAAGAAACGAAACAAAGTGTACAGAAAGGGGAATATGCAAAATTGTATTAAAGTGCAGGACCAGCAGCATTATCTTCATCAGAATCCGGTAAAAGATCTTTGGTCCGGTCTTCTATCCTATCTACATTCTCGAGCGCAGAAGCTAGTACTCTTAAATTGTCCACGCCAAACATTAGTTGTCTGTAAGAATATTAACATATTATAGCTAAAGTTTTTTAATAGAAAAATCACGAAATTGAAATCGCGTATAATCAAAGTGTAGATTTTTACCTCAGTGACGCTTCTGCCGATGAAGCAGCAGTTCTTAAATCGTTAGCTAGCCTTCTTACTTTTCGATCTACACTCAAAGAACCACACTCTTTTTTACTCCTTGTTACAATTCCATTCTTAAGTTCCTTATTTTCCAATCGTAACCGTAATATCTCTGTCTACATTGAGATTACACTTCTTCATATAATAATTGCATGCATCGTAAATAATGCAAAGTAAAATTTATACTAACCGTTAAAGCTTTTATTTCCTTTTTTAACGATGTAACTGTACTTTCTGCATTTACTGCTCTTCTCTGTAGAAATGAAATTATACAAAATCGAAAGTTGGAAAGTTGGTATAGATGTAATTTTATGCTTACAGTACTACGTTTTAGATTATCCTCAACCTGTTCCATGGCTTTCTCAAGATGCACCGTTTCTTCATGCTCCGCTTCCTTTCTAGATGCCAATTTTGATTCTAACGATTGAATCCTGTATAATAAACAACACATACGTTATTAATATAATCTAACATTACAAATACCAGTATTTTCATAATTACCTCTTGGATTTCTCACCGACTTGATTTCGAGCTACTTCCAACTCATGACGTAACCTTTCATTTTCTAACAATACCTGTAATAAATTTTAACATATTACACGTTATCTTCTATTTTAATTATTATTTAACGACACATTTTTCTCACAAAATTGTTAAATCTATCGTACTCGTCTCTCTATGGATTCAATGCTGTTTGGGATAGTTCCAGAATCTGTAGACAGTGTTGCCCTATTATGGATAGGATCGTCGTTTAAAAAATCTGGTAAAGACTTTGGAACATTTGTTTCGTTTGTTCCAGAACAATCTCTCGCTGCAATATTTGAACTAGAAACAGATTCGGTGCCAGGTATCGGTAAATCTAATGGAAATCCTATATAATAAAAATTATACGTATAAAACTTATTTATTTGATAATTGTCGACACGTTATTTTATTTTCTAACTACCTGATGATTCTGGACGTTCCGTAGATCCTGTATCTACGTTATGTCTATTGTAAACAGGTAAATTTAAATCAGCAGGACAACCTGCGTTTGGTATAGACTGAGTTCTATGAGCTAAACCTTTGTCTAAACTTCCAGTTAGGTCAAACGGAAGATCGCACAATACTGGATCGCTTTTCTTCGATTCGTTTCTAAGTCGAGTTTGCCTCTGTTCCACGCTGAGTGCAAAATCAGGAAGATTATCTGCATCTGGTATAGCTTGCTGTTTCGATTCATGATTCAGGTAACATTGTTCTATAACTAAATGATCTTGCACAAAATCGGGTAGCTCTGTTGGATTACGGGAATAAACTGTGGAATCTTTTTCCAAATTATTTGGACTTGTTGTTGGAGGGGAATAAACTTTTGGACGAGCTCCTGCATTATAATAATTTGTCTGTGAATCATTTTTTAGAAAATGTTTAAAACTAAAAGGATTCTCTTCGCGTCGTATCGTATCTTGTCCTATAAAATAAATATACGTGTATATATATATATATATAAAAAAAAGAAAGAAAGTAATTAATCTAATTAGCAAATTAATTGTCGTAACGAATACAATGAAATCTAACCTGTTTGAGTATCTGTTTCAGTGCGACTTCTACGAAAACGTTCTCTCGGCATATTTCTATAACTTGGACATTCCATTGTTACATCTTCTTCAGAAGACGAAGATAACGACGTAAACATTACCTCGCCAACATGACGCCTTATATTTTTTGATACAGAACGATACGATTCATAACCTTTTTTATGATTCGCCATCACTTATGCAGAAGATCAACTTTACCGACAATCGTATCATTTGTGGTGCAGTCAAAGCTGCACTTGACATTTGTCACCCGCTCGCTGTGGTCGGGTCAGGTTAGTCATACGTCTTTTTCCCTCTTTCTTTATTCACTGAATTCACTCAGTATGACGTGAACGTAACAGAAACACACACGTACTTACCTTACCTATCAATCTTTTCTGCCTATGTTTTTATTCTCGTAACCCAAAGTTTCTATGATTTATACATAGATAATTTCCTATCTGAAATGAGTTATAAGTTGTTACATGTACAGGTATGTATGCGTAATAGATATGATATATATATACATATATACACACACACACACACACACACACACACCGATATGTTAATGATGTAAAATTGGCTAAAATCTTATAAAAAAAAAAAAAAAAAATTTATTGCAAATATTAATAATTGTGTTAGATTCAGTCAATATTCACTATTGCATTAAAATTCTAGAGAGCGTTAAATTTTTACACGTTCGTATGTGTAACAGGTGCTGGAATTTTAATTTTACAAAACAGGTTATCATCCACGTGAGACCATTATTAATCACAACAATTTTTAAACGATTTTACGGATGTACACGGTGATTTCAACGCGATGTCTCAAGAAAAACCTTGTCGTGTGTGTACAGATTTTAAAACATGGGCAAAGATTCAAAAAAAGACTTTCGAATCCGAAAAGGTACAGGTAAAATTTCTTAAATAAATGCTTTCTACAAACTTTTTATATTCTTTACGATCGTGTATGTCTATTTATACAAATTAAAAATTACTTTTACGTCAAAATCGATCGTAACTTTATTACTTAATTGAAATAACAGTTAATTTTATTCTATTTTTTTATTATTTAATATTATATTTACAAAATATTGATATTTCAGTTGTTAGTTTTATAAATGTATGATATAGGAATAAAAATACAATACTCGTAATATATAGATATATGGTAAAAAAAAATTTACAGAATTATACAAACTACTGTATAAGTTAGTAATTGTTATACATTCTACGATAAAAGTGACATATAATTTATACAAACTAAAAGATAAGATTATATCTGTCTTGAAAATAATTTGAGTTATTTGTATCTTTATGTAAATCTTGTTGTTAAACAGGAATCTGAGAAGAAGCAGGAGAAAAGTTCATCCTTAAGTAATAGACGCGACGATTGTCCTTTAGATAAAGATGAATTAGGTTCAAGGACATGGTCATTTTTACATACTATGGCAGCATATTATCCTGATCATCCAAACGAAGAACAACAGTCAGATATAACAAAGTTTTTTTATACATTTTCCAAATTTTATCCCTGTTACGTATGTGCACAAGATTTGCAAGAACAATTGAAACACTATCCACCACAGACTGACTCGCAGAAAAAGCTGAGTCGTTGGCTTTGTAATATACATAATGAAATAAACAGGAAACTTGGAAAGCCAAAGTTTGATTGTAATTTTGTTGACCAAAGATGGCGAGACGGCTGGTTGGACGGTTCGTGCGACTGATAGTAAATAGTAATTATTCTTGGCTTTAAATTTTTAAGAAAGACCTACGCGTGATATAAAATATTATGTAAGTCAATTGTTGTAAATACTTGTTTCGTAAGAAGAAAATAGCTGTAGACATTAGTATCGCATGTAAATCCATATTCATCCTTATTGATAAATTACACTCGGATGTTAACGTGTTTTTTTGTTAATTACGAGTGTTGAGAAATATTAATAAAAATAGGCTCATTATGCAATTATAGTTATGTTAATTATCACCTGTTCTAGAGTGTGTTTACTCTTAAAATCGTGAAGTAGATGGTGGTAGATGCGAAGCGGTAAATGCAGAAGATGCTGTTCTAAATTGTGGTTCGTAACTGTGGTCCTGACCCTCGTCACCAATTGGCATAACCTGACACGTTCTAATGTGAAATGGAAAACGTTTGTTAGCCATAGATGGTCGGGTGATGTACAAAAATATTACGTGTCCCATAAAAACAATCCATAACGAACATCCCTTAGCAACGCTTTCTCTAACCCATTCATCTACTAATAAAGTAATGCAGAGTACCTATGAAATTATAAGTACATTTATATATATTTATACTATGTGCGATATTCTGCATTTTTATATATTTATACTATGCAAGTCGATATTATATACAGTTAATATTTATCATAGACAAAATTTTATTATATGTTTATTATATACCGTTAGCGGATGACACAGGAACCATGCTGATCCCAAAGAAAATAATGAACCATAAAAATGAAGCTTTGTTGACATTTTTTTAATCGTCTTAAGGCAACGAAGAGAAAAAATGACCCATGCTATAAGTTTTAATGCTATTAGCATATAACCTGGAGGTGATTCATAAATATACAATACCAATCCAGGATCAAACACATCGTATTGATATATATATAATGAAAATTGACAGAAAGAATGGAGACAGGCGAAACATATAAGCCATCGAGTTTGTCTTGGCGTTAAAGTACTTTTAGTTACAGTAAAACCAAGCGCAAGTAGTAACATAAGTATGGTATACAAAATATCTGAACATGCTTCCAACAGTTGGCCCATTAAGGAAACATTTTCTATTGCAATTCCTCTTAAACCAAGAATAGTATAGCTATAAATCTCAAATAGTATTCCCGCTAATTGACAAAGCAAAGAAGCTACAAATATTTTATAAGAAACGTGTAGAAGTCTTCTTGCCCGTAATTGCATGGCTATATACAAACTTAATATTACAAGTATAACATAAATGAAACTAATTACTATCAACTCTGGCAGTATATCTGAAATGAAAATGGATTCAATTAAAGAATGTTTAATTGCTTTAAGTTACAGTAAAGTTACTTGCAGAATTGATCTGCTGAAAAATGTTCTCTCCAAAAACTGCCATGCGGCGCATTGGTTAGCGATATCCAATATGAGACGTTCAATCCAGTTTTTAAGGAGCAATCTGCTAACGCGATGAACCACCATCTCGGACGAGATGATCGAAATCTTCGGTAATTAGAGCATCGTATTACCGCGTCTTCTTCAACGCATCCTGATTTTGTCGGCAATGATGTTGATAACGGTACTATCTGACCAATTCCATCCCAAAGTATAGCTTCCTTCTCGATGCAACTTTTGTTTGAGGGATAAATACTTTGCCATTGATCAGGTGCATCATAATATAACAGTATTTTTAAATCATTTTCTTCGTTTCCGAACTGAAATTCGTACCGAAACGTGCCTTGTTCCGTCAAAAAGCAGAACCTCGCTAAAAATGCCCAATTCTGAAAAAAAAAATGCCCAATTCGTGTCATTATAAATAATAATATAAATTTGAGAAATGGTTAACAAATAATTTTAAAAATAATCAACAATCACGATAAATTTTATATTCATAACCGATGCAAACAGAAATACAGAATGTGCGATATACGCGCGCACGCACACATACACATGCAATCATATTGATTATCTTTGTCAATTAAAAATCAAGTGACTGATTAAATGTAAGAATACTTTATAGTTTGACAAAGATTGCTTATAGTACTTCGCGTGTAACTAGGCGTCCTTGAAGAATTTTGGTCTCTGAATACGTAAATAAAAATAAGAATACTATGTCAAAGAACAATAATAGATTAAACATTGTTGACACTCTACTGCACAATTTCTCTGGACTAAAATGTTGTCTACGTATCTGTTACACGACGTTGCCTGCTGCTTTTCTTATGATCAATATTTTCCTACCTATTAGAACAATGCATTTGAATGAATATATGGATCGTTGTAAATTATATTTTTGATAAACAAACGTAGTAGTAAATTTTTATTAGAAACCGTTAGTCGAAATCACAGTAATCTCTTATTTTTTAATTATATTTTCAGTAAACCAGAATTCTTCTACAATGATGGTACTTAAGTAAGTACATACGTGTTATCGTATGACCTTGACTTTTACTTACAATTGTATTACAATATCGATTTATGGAAAGTAGTGTGTACGTATGTATGTATACACGTATACTTTTTAAAATATAACATTAAGTTAGAGGCTTTGAAAATCAAGTAACCGAATATTTTACGCATACACGGAAATTATTTTACAACGTTACTTTGCGCTTTGATGTTATCGTACGTAAATAATATTAGAACTTTTCTGTAACATTTGTTTAATTTTTAAGAGATTTCAATTTAGATGTATAGTTTGTAGAGTATTTAAACCGAATTAAACGTTTTTAGAATTTTTGTCCGTTTCTATGTCTCTGTCAGTTTATTCGTTTTTTTATTTTCCACCGAATCGGTTTTATTTAAACCACCATTATTTTGTTCGGTATATGTCAGGGAACAGAATAAATTATTTGTTACCGTACCTATACTTGACGTATGTAAGTATCTATTAAACAATTGTAAATAAAGCTTACAATAATTATAAAATGATTTGCATTTAGTTTTCATTTTAAAAAACTTTGGTCTTTACGTAATGTAATGCCGGTTCGTTTTCGAATCGGGGGAATTCGTTAGACATCGAAAATGCAACCTTTCAGAACTGAAATCTGAATCTGAAACTGAATCTAAATGCACGAACAAGAATAATAGACTATGATGTTGCTTGCGAGCATTATTTTCACTTAAATAAAGTACATATGCATTTCGTTGACGCCGTTTTCGACGCGCATGCGTGACACATCCTGATCCTGTGATACATATTCCTGATTGATCCTAACCTCGTATCTGGTAAAAGTAAACAGATGTGTTTTATGTTCTACACCATTCTACATTTAATGATTATTATGATTTTTGGTACTACGCATTATTACAAATTTATAGTTTAGCTTGCGAACTATTACCCAATTTTGTTATTAATTTGCTTAAAGATTATAGAACGATAGAAATTATGAAGAATGATAAAGAAAATTGCAAGGGCTTTAAATGTAAATATCTATTATTTTATCTATCAATTCCATGGACATTTTATTTAATCAAACTGGTTTTTATATGGGTATTTAATTTCTAGCATTGTGGATTCACTTTGATAAAGAAAACACAGATGAACATCAATTATATTTTAAAGAACATTCCATTAGGAAACAGGATCCTCGATATTCAAGAAAAAGGACATTGTTTGTATTAAACATACCTCCTTACGTTACAACCAATGTTCTGACAAGTGTCTTTAGCGAACTTTGCGGGACAGTTTCTAATCTGTATTTTACAAATTCAAAGGGATTCAAAGCAGCATATATAGTATTTGAAAAAGAGTCTGCTTTAGAGAAAGCATTAGAACTTGCTGCAAATTGTATAATAACATTAAATAATAAAGATAGTATATGTTTAACAGGATTGGCAAGTGCGTTATGTTAATATTTTTCACAGTTTACTTTTATTTCTATGTAATTGTCTTAAATTGTTACGTTTACGCAAATAGAATGGTGCAAAGAATATAACGATTCAATATACAATGAAGACAAAATGAGAAAAGAAATTGAAGATTACATGTATAATTATGACACACAAATTGCCAACAAAACAGCAAATGCAAAACTTGTCGAAGAAGAAGCGAAAGATAACAATGGTTGGGTAACTGTAACCGGACGAAAGAAAAGAGGACAGTTTCCTCTTTCTAGAAAGGAATGTACTACTAATAAAATGCAACATAAAGAAGAGCAAAAAAATAAGAAAAAGCAACTGCTTAACTTTTACACTTTTCAAATTCGTGAAAGTAAAAAACAAAGTAAGTTTCATTTCATATTGTTTTTCTGTCAGATTCATATGTTCAAAGTATTATACTCTGTTGGTTTTTAGATTTGGCAGAGTTAAGAAAGAAATTTGAATTGGACAAAAAGCGACTACAAGATTTGAAATCAAAAAGGACGTTTAAACCATTTTAATTCTACAAGTATAACAAAACATAGGATTTTATTACTAAATACTGTGGTGCATGAAAAATGTAAATAGAAGGTTTTTAATTTCAACATGAAATAGATGTTTATAACTATAATTCAATCATGTATATTGAACTTTTTATTTATGTACAAATTAAAATGGAAGAAAAATCAAGAAATGATTTATATTGTACGAGATGATAATGTAAGAATATAAATATAATAGATAATGTTTTGCACCGGTTATCCTTTCTTAATATTACGTATGTACAAAATATTTCTAACAATAAATGAATAGTCAAGCATATTGAAATAACATTATATATATATATATATATATGTATATACATATATGTTCTTTAATGGAGCAAGGGGTTTTTTTTGTTTTGTTATATTACTGTTTTTGATTGCAATTTAGAATGATCGCCTGTATGTTCGATTCAAGAAATAGGCACTTTTAATAAGCATCGTATAAAAATTAGAACATAGTACGTGTATAGTTAAACAGTCTTCAGAACATTTGGTCAAAGCTACAGTTCACAATACGTCTCAATAAAATGATACATTTCTCATTTTTAAAGGTATATGCATATGTACCTAAGTACATATGTAATATAATATATGTATACATGACATACATGATACATAAAATATGTACTGATCGATGAACGTTTGCTACAATATTTTTCAAGACCATACAGAAACATTGTTATAATCGACAGAAATTTTATAGCAGTAGCATGTTATGAATGAAAATAATTGAATGGCAAGCGAAATGGATCAGTTGCAGAAACGTAGGATTCTTTGTTCCGTGATTTCGATGCGTTGAGAAAAATCCCTTCCTTTTTAAGGGCCTTACTTGTAATGTAAGAAGAGTAGGGAGTTGCACCAATCGGGGCCCCTTATTCTGGTTCCCCTACCCGTAACTTCTGCAATTCCATTTTCAAACGTATCATTCCGCCACATTTTAGCTTGTGATTTCATCGCCGGTTAAGTTACCGCTCTTCTTTTCTCATCGAACGTTTTTCTTAAAACATTATTCAAATTGGAATTTACGTTTTATGAAGTTCAACCGTGATCGATCGAAGAATAAAAAACTGATTTGTTCGGTGGCCCTGGATGGGTTTGAATTCAGTCCACGTTTCATTTATTCTATTCGTGACTAGATCCACACTCATCCAAGGAAACCGAGCTTCGAAGTCGATCTTGAAGGAATATACCTATTTTTTGGACACGAAGGATTTAAACCTTTTGCAAGAACTCTTCTTTTCATCGTATACACTTTACTCGGCATACAAAAAGGTAAATAATATTAGGAAACCTACAGAGAAAGAATTAGAAAATTTACATTTCTAACGCAAATTGATTTCCGTCTATAACATTATACATATACATAGGTACTATATGGAAAGGGAAGTGAAACTTGTTTCGTGTTATCTTACGTTAAACTCCAAAGGTGTTGTTTTCTATTTGTCTCGAAATTATTTTTATATAAATAAATTTTCTACAAGATTGTAGTACGTTCTATTCTAAATATACATATATACGAACTCATATTGATCGGTAGATTCGATCTTGTAAAAATTTACGTTATTTTACGTTGCTTAACGGAATACAGAAAAGACTCGGTGGCCCAAGCTAATGGCTGCAAGATTCCATTCAGTTTCTTTGTGTGCGAACACCTGCCGTATTTCCCCACCAACGATCTACCGCTTTCCATTGGTAGCAATAATTCGCCCTTAACCTCTCCCATATCCCTGTCATCCTTTCTGAATAACGGTAAAAGCTTGCCAATATAACCGTCTTTACCTTTGAATAGAGAATTATAAAACACAGTTGGCCGTTTCTTACAGTTTATAGAAAATTTTTTAGTTCATTTCATTCTATGCACAATTTTATTTCACCTACATACTCCATTTCGTTTTTTTTTTTTTTCTTTAAAATATTTAATCAATGAACTTAATGCATTCAATTATAAAGGTACAGGAACAATGCGCAAATAAATTCTTTTCTATGTGGAAAGATTACTGCGTCTATGTAAAACTAATAATGAATTCTGTGTGGAAATGATGAGGACATACTGATGTATGTACATATGTACCGGTTTATTCTTAATTTTAAGACAATGCTCCATCGATGAGTTTTTGTAATATTGTAATATATGTATATTTGTGATATACATTCTTCCAAATACTTTTCTTTAGATTGTTGTACGGTTACTTTTCACAAAATTACAAATCATTAAAATTCACTATGTATTTTCCAGGCGATTTAAAGTACTTTTTTAGGCCATTCTTCAACTAAGCGTCGGCGACGCAATTGAAAAAATGAATTTATTGGTAGACATAGTACGAATACAATATGAAATTACAATGTACACACACATACATATATACAGGCAATTATCAACTAATAATTTTTTAAAATAGTGTCGCTATCGCGTCGCTTAGATGCAAGGACGGCCGTAATTTTATCAAGGAATGTAAAAGTGATTGAATTACAAAAATGATCTCAAAACTAGGAGAATAAAAAAACTGTGAAATGTAAACAAGTTATTTAAAGTTTACGATAGTAAGTTATTGCAAAATATGAATTTTTATGTGCTAATTTTACGGTACGAAGAAAGGAAAATTGACAATACATTGTATTTTATAGCAGGAATTTTTTTGTTCAATATTTGTAATCCATGTATCAGGTGTTTTGAGATTCTAAACTTAATTGTGCTATGCATGAATGCTCGTCTTGAATTTCAGTTTCGTAAGTTATGTCCGGATCTGAACGTATTTCGTCTATCGCTCGTTTAATTTGAATCCGTAATTGGCCAGCAACTTTTCGGACTGCTGTATAATTTTGTTTTATTTGTTTTATGCACGGTAATAAACCTTTCCATGGAGCAACGTTCGTGTGAGAAAGATAAAGTTCTTTCCATAATTGAATACTAATTGGTGCAACACTAGGCCAAATAACGCCTGGATTTGGTTCGTATAAAGGATTTAACCATTTCTCTAGTACTTCCGGTTGATTTATGTACGACCATAAGCTACACGTTCGTTCTGATAATCGAAGTCTGACTCTCTCTGCTTCTGTATCACCTAAAAACAATGTATAGAAAAATTTTTAAATACCGTAATAAAGTTGCGTATTGATCATAAAAAGAAAATTACTATATAGATGCGCGCGCGCGCGCGCGCGCGCAAGCTTGTATATATACCTAGGAATGTTCCATAGTCAGAACAGTACGCATGATTATATAATTCAACCAATAATTCTATTGTATACTCAAAGCTAAATTGGAATTGATAATGAAGCTGATAAAGACAATCTAAAAAGAGAAGAAAAGTTGGAGCATGTGTTGGATTTTGTGAACTCGCAGGATGATAAGGCCCATGACGTGTGCGGCTAAAAAACTGATGTCCTGCTTGTATCCATTCACGTTCGATCAAAGCTTGAAGACCTCGCACTGTTCTGCAGTCAGGATTTAATATTGCTTGCGCTAAGCTGGTTACCACCAAAGTAGAATCTCTACCAGCGCTTCCTGTTCAAAATATAATAAATATCATTGCAACAATTATTCCAATTAACTCTGTCAATATAAAATTATACTTGTCGATTATATACCATGAACTAACACAGCTGCAACTTCTTGATGAAGACACTGAGCAGTTACACAAGCAGCATTTAAAGCACTTTGTACAGCAGACAGCCATCCACCATTATCAAGTCTTGAAAGCCACTGAGAAGTAGAACACGTTATATCGTTACAAGCTTCTACCAATTTAAAAAAACTATCTGCTAAATCGTGCGGACGTGGAACTGCTTTGTGCACTTTTCGCCACTGTGGATAAGCAGCATCCATTTCTGTACCGCCACCTCTGGCTTTTGAGCTTTGAGCTTGACTAACGGATCTTGTATCTACTATGTAACTATAGAGAAATCTTACATTAGCAATAGTCGAAGCTAAAAATAGTCTATTGTCGGTAACTTCAACAATCGATATTACATATGTTATGTGTTATGTATATTTGAACTCTTTAAGTAATTAATATATTCTCTATTTACCCGCGTCTTCCTGGACCTAACACTGCATTTAATAATCTTTCGTCTTCTTTACACCTTTTACTGGTAGAGCCACACATTGGTTGGCTACTTCTTAACAAGATACTCTGTAATATTAATTAAAGCCTTGTTAAATGCCTATAGAACATGCTTATCTCTTTCTTTCACGCTTTGATATTTTTTATAATATTATTTCATACCCCTCCTTCGTGCCTGTAACACAAAACAGGAAATCTTCCGCCTTCTCTGAAACTAGCAGAAGATATAATAATTTTATCCTCTATGTGACGAGGTACTATAACAGCAGAAGGATAAGAATTGCAAACTTTATAGTCTTTATTTAAATAACTTATACGCCATTCGTCCGCATGAGCGGTTAATAATCTAGACCACTCTGAAACAGGAGTAAACGCGGTCCAGCCATCTTCTATTTGTACCGTGATATTATTTGTAATTTGTGGTCTATTGAAAAAAGGATATTGTAATATTTGCTCTGCAACGAAAAAAGAAAAATGAGAAATCTGTAATCTCGGAGATAAAGGGTTATGTATGTATTATATATATTTATATGTTATACCTTGCGAAGTTAACTTTTCTATAGATAATACAACATTCATTAAGTCATCCGTTGAAATAATATCTAATTGGAGGATTCGAAAATCTTTACATTTCAATATAATACTACCGCCTGAACTTTGGGTGTTTAATTTCTTTTCTATCAGATCAATGTTTCGGTATAGTAGCTAAAAGAATATAGAGACGTATAAATGTTTTATTCGCAACCAACAAATTGGCACTCCAAATAGTAATATATATAGTAATAAAATAATTATCTTTATAAAATGTACCCAAAGTTCTTGCCCATCGTTTTGTCGCGAAGATAAAAGAAGATGGTGACTGCTAATACACAATGTCCCATCTATGGATTTACTGTTTCCATCAGTTTTATCCGTTAACACGACATTGTCGAGATTTGGAATTAATATTAAGTCACCAAGTTCCATTATATGTTTTGATCAATGACTGTAAGTATCAATCGTTGATGATTTTTAAACAAATGTAAATGTTTTGACAGCTCTGCATAACCTAACGTCGTTGTCTCACAAAATTATTGTACAACTTCTCTTTAGTAAGTTAAAATAGAACAAATGTAAACTTATAGAAAATTATGTACACTTATTGGATTGTTCATTTGCCTTCTTTTAATATCCATTGTTCCAAGATATTTCAAACATAAATTAAAGTCGATTGTCAATGGTCACAATGCTGTTTACTTTTCGTTCGTTCATCACTTGTGCATATACATTTTATCACACTTTCATAGTTTTTCGTACGTGTATTAAAGAACGCATAGAGGGAAGCACATATTGCGCATTTATATAACCTACTATAAACTATGACGTAAAAAAGTAATATTCTATACTGCAATTTCTTATTTATTTGGTGAACTCGTTAAGGAATATGGTGAGATTTATTAGCAAACGATCGCCAAGTATTATTTACCCATCTTTCTACTATTATGGAGTGTATCTAACAAATAGAAAGAAGTGTTAAAAATATTTGGACATACATAGTAAACCTATAATAAAAACAGCAACGAACGTTGTATCGAAGGGTGATTATTTGTTGCATATGTACAATGCACATATACGCAAATAAATAAATAAATAAATAAATAAGTATATCTACACATACACGCGTGCGCGCGCGCACACACGCACACGCACACGCACACACACACACACACACAGATACAGACTCTGGACAAATAATATAGGTATGTATTGGTACGTAAAGAAGTGTAATTAGATTATTAAAAATGTAAAAAATTTGAGGAACAAAAAATTGACGAGCGTTATTTTCGATAGCCCGTAAATACAAACGCACCACGTGGTTCTAATAATTAAAGTTAGCGTCAAAAGATGGAGACACCAGCGTCAGAAAGCGGGTTTTTAGGAGGGGGAAGGAATGCTCATGCTTTTTAATGTAATGTCTTATTGGTAAGTGATATATCTCGCTATCCATGTTGTGAGATTTGTATGAAAGGTGGTTTATTCGACCTGTGAAATTTATTTTATAAGTTACAAAACGTCCGAAACATTTTTGTCATTCGAATAGCTGAATTCACATACGAATTCCATAGATGGTAATTGTCTTGTCTGGTTCATTATAATGCAGGATATAGTCTAAAGCACTTTTGTATAGTTACTATTATTATGTGCTATACCATACTATCGTCAATCAATATATAGTGCAAAAGCTTTGTTCTAAAAACATTTATTGATCGTATGTGTTTTGAAATTTCTCATTATTTTCTATTCATTAATGTTGTATTTCATATAATGCTATTAAAATATAACACAAGCAAAATTTTAATAAGGGCAAATACTTTCTAAATTTCTTATGTTGTTTCATTATTAAACGTCAACAGTGTATTATCGTACATTTAAAAATAAATAAATAAAAAATTAGTATTGTTTAGGGTAATTAAAAACTAGGTATCGCACGATTCTTTTAGTTCTCCTCCGCAAATTTTATTCTTTGCATAAAAATAGGTATGCTAGAACTTTTTCATTATATAACTGACTTATTAAGCACTTTGTTTGTATTTGATTTCTATGTAGAAAAATATATGCGGTTTCTTATTTAAGATCGATCGCAAATTAGGAATTATTTGCGAGAATATGAATGTTCTTTTGTTTCTGTAATTTCTAATCGTTTTATTTTCTATTTCTATGTTTAAGTAAACACATATTCAAGTAAACGCATGCGATGTGTCAAAATGACATCTGTAGAAGTCGAACGAAGTTTGCCAACTTCTCTGCAGCTACAAAATCCAGCTATACCTGAATCGCAACAAGAAAGTTCAGAATCGGATATTCCTGAGAGTGAAAACAATTCCATCGATGATCCTTGTACGCAAAAAAGTAGAACCTCGATCGCAGCTGCAACCAATAGTATTAAAAACATAGCAAATGTCACAAACCGTGATAAGGAAAAACGTGAAGACGAGGTAATTATCCTCGACAGCAGCAAAGAGGATGCTGATTATAACATAGATAAAATAAAACATGTTCAGAAGACAGGAAAATCAAATATAACATCCTCTGTATTGAAAAATGATTCCAAGATTAGTAAGAGCGATAATACAAAAGACACTATGATTAGGAGTGGCCATTATTTGAAAAGAAAACATCGCAATTTTCTGTGAGTGTAGACAGTTTCTATTTTCAATATACTTAATTTTTCTTAAACAAATTCTGTACCTGTTGCTGAGAAACGTTTTAGGTTGTTAGAAAGTGAACTTTTATCTTTCTTCCGAATTTTCAAGCAGTATCAAGAATATTTTAGAAAATATATTCCATGTATCGGTTATGTATAGGAAATAAAAAAGGAAATTGGCTTTTTTAGTACTGAAGATGAAGATCTGGAGGAAAGTAGCTCAAGAAGTAAACGAAAAAAGAAAAGTACGAGCGACAAATTTTGTTGGAGGTGTCACAAAGAATCCGTAGAAGCATATTGCAGTGCTTGTCCTCGATCGTGGCATCGCAGATGCATAGGTATGCAACCACAGTCTATTCAAAATTGGATATGCGGAGAATGTGCAGCTATTCTACAAGCAGAAAACGCAGAAACCCGTTCTACAGCTATGGCACAATTATCGATCGATCAGCTCTGTCTATTATTAAAATATGTGGTTGAAAGAATGAGGGAGTACCCTGGTGTAGGTATTAGCTTCTTATTCGCATCGATATTTTATTATACTTCCATCTGGTTAAATTTTAAGGCTCTTTTGTTACAGTCGGAACCATTCTGGAAACCAGTCGAACTTTCCGAAGTTCCAAATTACCTAGAGTACGTGGTGAAACCAATGGATTTGAATCTTTTAGAATCAAACGTGCGGTCGAAACTTTATGGTAGTACGGACGCGTTTATGGCTGATGCAAAATGGATCCAGCATAACTGCATTGTATTTAACACGTGTACGTAATATATATCGTAGATTATGTTACATTAATTAGTATCACTACTATTAATATCACTACGGAATTTGAATAATAAAGTTGTTTTAATTATGCAGGCGGTGGTGTGTATACCGACACATCAAAATTAACGAATGCCGCAAAACAAGTAATTAAATTGGCGCGTCAAGAAGTATCAGAAATCGAAGCTTGTCCCGATTGTTATGCTCATGGCCGAAATTTACCCAGACCCCAGCCGTCCTGGTTTATCGAACCTTGTCGTCGTCCTCATCCACTTGTATGGGCGAAATTGAAAGGTTTTCCGTTTTGGCCAGCAAAAGCTATGCCTCGGATAAATTCTCAAGGCTTTGTAGACGTACGTTTCTTTGGCGAACACGATCGTGCGTGGGTATCGCAGCGAGATTTATTCTTATATTCGAAAGAGCCGCCTGTTCCGCTACCACGTAAGCGGAGATTGGATATGGAAGAATGTGTTCGAGAAATAACTCGACATTGTCGTAAGCTCGAACTTGTATTTGGTCAATTTAAATTTGCACCTCCCAAGGTCCAATACAATCCACACGACCCGCTGCAAATTAAGTTAATGTTACCAAATTATAACCCACTTTTCAACAATTATGGATCTTCACAATTTTTGATTCCCAGAAAAAAGTCGCTTCTGAAAAAACGACTGCACGTTAAAATTAAATCGAAAACCGACTCGGAGACAATGGACGATTCTGATATTAAAACTAGAACGTTGTTCGATTTTGGCATAGGCAGCAAAGAAAATAAAATTGAAGCTAAAGTATCGAAAGTGAAAGAATCTGATCGGTCGACCGAAGTCGAATTGATCTTGATTGCGAGTGACAGTCCGAGTACTTCTACGGATTTAAACGAAACGACAGAAAGTGAAAATAAGGAGGAGGACCGAAAACTTGTCGAAAGTGAACCAACAGTTTCGAAATTAGCGAAGAAAAAAGAAGCGAAGCCGAGTTCAAGCAAAATCGATGGAAAGAAGGATATAAACAAAAGTAATATGAACAAACGTGATACAAGCGAATCAAACATTAAGAAATTAGAACGGAATAATAACTCTGAAAACGTAACGAACGATAATACAAAATCTTTGTTGAATTTGTCAAAAGAAACAATAACGTCGTCGGATAGCGACTTGATGGACGACGTTACAACATCGAAAAAGGAACAACAATCTCTATTGACGATTAACATTAATAAGGAAGATACCAATCAAAATTTATTAAGCTCGCAAAAAAATAACTTTAAAGGTACAAAAAACGTGGTGAAAGTTTACAAGCCAAAAACTAGAATGGTTGATAAAGTGAACGCTGAGAAGGCTTTGAGATCTATTGCGAGCGAACATCAGAAACCGGCCACGACAGAATTAACAATAATTTCAGACAAACAGACCGACGGAATATCATCGAAGGATAATTCAAAAAATTCCAACAATAATAATTTAATATCATCGTCTAGTTCGATATCAACCGGCAAAACTCAAGTCGACACCAATGACGCTCAGACGGTTAAAAAAAATTCCGCGGATCAATCTGTTGCGTTACTTTTTGTTGTAAACAATAGTATATCCGACACTGTTAAGAAATCTGTCGGCGATCTGTCGTCGTTAAGCGAGAAAGAAAAAAGTAACCATGTGCAGACGGTTCAACAACAATCATCGAGAGACACGGCTCAGCAGCCGTCGTGTCCAAAAAAAGAGAGCAAAGCTAGGAAATCGTTTCCTAATAAAGCTCGTACTGGTTTACAACCTACTCCACACTCCTCGACAACTATATTGTCAGATGCAATCGATTCTATGGTTTATATTCCAGCTTATCAAGCTGAAAATTGTGTCGAATATGAAATGGTTCCGCCAGAGGCAGGGCCTGCAAGTGCTCGTTTGTATCACGGTGCCCATGATTTGGCCAGAAAAATGGCACAGTTAATGGAAGAGGCATACAAAGAAGCATCTCAAGAAAATGTTACATCCGAGAACCATCAAACGACTGTTCATTTTTTACGATTACAAATGGAACGGATGACATGGCAACATCAACAACAACTTGCCGAACTGAAACATAACACTGGTACGTCGTAATTTTTATTATACGTGTACGCGCGCGCGCGCGCGCGACTGTACATACACAACAGTTGATCCCCTTATCTACCTTTTCACCTTGAAAGTCGTTTACCCCCGAATAGTTACAATACATATAAAAATAATTCTTGTGCAACAGGCATGTCCACGAGTGGAGCCCCTCACGCGGCTTGTTCCTCTCTTTCACACGCCGTTGTCGAGAAACAAAGAAATCAACCAAGTTGTGCATTCTTGCTTCTGCTGGAAATTTCGCTTATAAAACGAAAAACGAAAAACGAAAAACTATAGAGAGACTTTTACATCGCCCGGCGTGTGGTACTACACTAACGGGACAAAGTGGGGCAAGACGTCTAAGCTCCGGAGCTTCGTTTGGACATGCCTGCTGGACAATATATGAACTCGATCGGATAATGGGATAACATGTAATACTACCTACATACATATACGTACACGCGGTTCCGCCGCTCTTTCAAACAAACAACACACCAAAAGCTCCAACTTTTCCCACTATTTCACCCGAACGATACAACTGACCGAGCACGGTCATGCATAACAATTATTCTTCGTTCCGTCATATAATGCATTCATAGAATACAATCGAATAGTACAGTAAATTCTCTCAAACAGCCACTACTAGTTCGAGTGTTCAACCGTTAACACACACACACACACACACACACACACACACACACACACACACACACACACACACACACACACACACACACACACACACACACACACACACACACACACACACACACACACACACACACAAAGAAAAAAATAAATAAATTTTGAAATATTTCCGATTGCAGATCGAGTATTCAGGGAAATGAAGGCAAGTTTGGAAGCTGAACGATTCCGTGCCATCGAAGAAACTCGTAAGGAAGCTGAAGAGGATAAAGTACGATGTATCGAGGAAATTAAACGTAAACAATGGTGTGCAATGTGTGGGCGAGAAGCATTATTTTATTGCTGTTGGAATACCGCGTACTGTGACTATCCTTGCCAACAGTCACATTGGCCAATGCATATGAGAACGTGTGCCCAAAAACCTTCGTTCACTACTATCGTTACTAGTTCTGCTACAAATTCGAGTCAACAGCAAATGATGCCAAGACTTATGATAAATACACAACATGTGACGTCGTCGTCAAATGTATGGAAGGCCTAGACCGTATCGGTGTATGCAAGTCCTTGAAATTGCATTAAAAAGTTAAATAGGTTATAATTACTCGTTCTCGAAGTTTTGGTAATATGTTTAGATGTTTCTTTTATTGCTGCTGTGTCCTGTGTTCACGTACAAGTGGTATAATTAGAATTACAATGTTACACAAAATAATACTTTATACTTTTCTCGTATTGTAATAATAAAAATGATAAAAAATAAAGAATATTTATTCAGGGGGCATGGTTCGGACGTGTTTTATCAGAACTATCTCCTAGTATAAAGAAAAATTGAAAACTCCTTTATTATTTTGCAACCTAAAACTCATTACTAAGAGACACGTACGGCGAAATGTCCGAAAAAACCGGCATATTTAAAACACAGCTGCACACGGCAGTAACACCGATACTAAAAACAGTTTCCGAATAAAGCGTACAAATTTTATATATTTTATTTTTTATTAATAAATTGTATTACTTCATTACCCATAGTTGTGTTTATTAAAAATAAAAAACGAATTTTTAAGAAAAATCGACGGGGGAAGCTTGTTAAAATACCAAGCACCAACTAATTTTTCCCTTCTAAACCTTCTACCCGACCGGTAATCTCATTTATACAGTCCACGTTTTCAAACATTTACTTATCCAAATCTATCAACTATATAGGAATATTTAAGTATGCATAGGATATGTAAGTCAGTTACCCAGTATTATTTATGGATGTGTAGTCAGTTTCTGCTTTATACCGGTTTTTTTATTTTCTTGTTGTAGTTACACATTTTATTTAGCTTTTTTGCTTTTAATCTTCCTCATATAAAATTCAAGTTCCTTTCCTTCGAGTATGTAACCATCTGCTCGACCGCACTGCCCCGGTCTACTTGCTATGCAAGCTGAAATTCATATTTAATTTTTTAATATTTAAAAACTTGTCATGCTGAAAAATCTTCGTTTCAAATATGTTCGACCCCTTATATGTTTTACTCGTACAATATACCAATTATATTAGAAACGATAAAGTTACGATGATTTAATAAGTAGCAACAATGCGAAACAGTACACCGCAGTATTAATATATTGACTGACTATACGAAGATTATTGCCTACCGAGTACACGTCCAGTGGCAAATTGTTCCTCTAGGGCAGGTTCTACCTTGGCAAAACGTTGTCTTACTTTGTACTTAGCTTCTGCTTTCTTGGAACGTTTCTTATTTAAAACTTCCTCCTCTGCTTCGGTCTATGCATATTCAGTTTGTCTTTGATTTAGTTGATCTTTAATTAACAATAACTGTAAGAATTAGGTTGATTACTCACCAATTTAGCACCTCGTTTTCGACCCAACGGCAAAACATAATGACTTTCATACCACTGTCTGAAAGGTGTTGCATCAATGGTGACAATTGCATTCTTCACCAGGGTCTTTGTCCTCACCAATTCGTTATTCGATGCATTGTAGACCACGTCGATAATACGTGTCTTTCTTGTAGAACACTCAGAACCCCACGAATAATTTCCTGTATCCAGACGAAGTGCTCTATATTTTTTGTTACCTCCTCGTGTACGTACCTGATTAATATAAAAGAAAAGAGTTTATTTAACTTGGAATTACCTTATGACAAATGAATAGCATTCGATCTGTAGTTTTATTCAGTACGCTGTGAGATATAGGTCAACACAATGCTCAGAGTAGGTAAAGGTATTCATCATATTAGTTGGAAATGGTATCGCACTATTTTGAAAAAAGGAAAACAATTAGACGACGGTACCGTATGAATACGTTGAGTTCCGAGCTTAGTATTCGCAGCTGGACGTCCTAATTCAAACTTTCTCTTTTTACGAATAGGTTTCCTTTTCCCACCAGTTGCTCGCCTTTTATGCCAATGATCTCGAGAAATACCTGAAACAAAACATTTCTTTCTCATTTTCTGCGTAACAAAATAAACGAACTTGCGAAATTGTATATTCCGAGATTTAATTTTATCCCTTTGTACATTTCTTCAGAAAAACGCATCGAATACCTCTTTTAGCGTACGAAACTATACGGAAGAATGAAAAGCAGTAAGAACGAACAATTTAAAAACAATAACAACTATCGTGTAGAAAATTAATAAAACGTTGATCGATGCCGCTAACAAATAAATTTTCAATTAATTGTACTATTCTTATCGACGTAATATACGCATAAACTATACAACTAAATGTATTTCTAGACTACTAATAATTCTTTATTAATAATTTTTAAACGGAACATATAGATTGAAACAGATGAAAACAAAAATTATATAAAATCAAGCATCTCACCCATCTTGCTACGATCGAAAAGAACCTCGAGTCTTGGAAATAGTAGTAAGCCCTCTCTCCACTTCCGGTAATACCCGTAACTGCGAGCGCCCTCTGGCTACCAGTAAAGTTAAGTACACATATATAGAAATTTATTTATGGAAATAACCATATCGTAAATTAATAAATGAATCGTGACAATGATTTCTTTCAGTTTTTTCATTGTTCCGAATGACATTTATGCATTCTTAATTCCGAAAATAATTTATTTTATATTCATGTAGACACGGCGGCACTGAATCTGTCGTATGGCGCACTCTTCCAATTGGTAGAATGACATTGTTGATTTGCAATTAGTAGAATGTGGCATTTCTAGTAATATTCCGTTAATCGGAAGACTCTACGGTTTATGAGAAATTCAATGTTAACGTGTGCACGTGATAGATGTATATGTATAATATGTAGGTTTAAAATTCTATTTAAAAGAATAAAAACGATAGGATAATATTTTTAGCGATTAAGATGCGTTGCCATGAATATGGACCTTTATAAAAGTTTTTGATTGGTTGGCATGAAAACTGATTACGTTAAATCTTCTGGAAGAAATTTGCTGACATCGTTGTTTCTCACAAAATCATTGTTTATGTTTGACTTGCAGTAGTCATCGCATAAAATTCAATATGGTGTTTGTCGTTGAACGATTTAAGTCGGATTTTCATATTTTAAGGTAAAATGAACAGTAAAAGAACGTTTATCTATCGTAATGATGAAAATTAGATTGAGAAGTCTGTGCCCTATCTAAAAATTTTGATGCCACGTCGGTGTTCTGTATAGAAAATCGTGAAAACAACATCTTCGAGTCGTTTTATACTCGCTGGTTTAAAAAGAAAAGTCGAAAGATTTAAAAAATAAGAAAATTAAAAATAATGGAAAGCATTAAGGTGGACAGCGGTACAGATACAAATGAATCGGAGATTCAAGAAAGTAACATTGAAGAGAAGAACGAAAACTTTGTGTCAGATATTACTACGTTAGACATTAAATCTCGACTTAGTCTGAAAACGACTGAAGTATACGGAGAGCCACATACAAATGGAATACCTCGACAAGGTCATTTAAACCAACACGGTATGAGAAATTTGTATCTAAAAAACATTGTTGTCTTTACAAGGGGTATCTAACTCGAATGCCCTTGAAAAAAGGATAGCGAAGCCATAGCATCGTGCAACTTATAATTACAGTAGGTGATAGAGCTGTAAATGTATTGAAAAATAGTCGATACAAGATATCGCATTATTATTACTAAGCGTTAATCGATTAAGTTGAAACTAGTTTTTACATAGAATCTATTCAGTTTGTGGTTTTTTTTTTGTTACCATCAACTTTTATTAAACGTAGCAGAAATAATATTTTGGTAAACTTATTCTTATTCTTTCCTCCTTGTATGTATTTAGACGAGGCGGAAACATTATCTTTGGAGAACAAAGGCGATAACATCCAATATGTTAGTTACACTAGCGAATTACAAATGCCTAATATTATGCACTTGATACAAAAGGATCTAAGCGAACCTTATTCCATTTATACGTATAGATATTTTATTCACAATTGGCCAAAATTATGCTTCTTGGTACGTATATATCAATACAAGTGTAAAATATATATTCAAACGACGCTGGTGTAGATACTTATTTCTCGATTCTATAGATTTAATTAAATCGTTGCTAAAAAAAAAAAAAAAAAAAAAATTAGTAATTTGTACATGTTTGTACATTGTCGTTTCGATGGAATTTAAAAGAACTGAGAAATGTTTTCAACGTGGCATTAGAAAGCATCGAGGAAGCATAAGAATTTTTAGCCAGCATTCGTTAGATCGGTTTGTCCCGTAGGCGTAGAATTGATAGAAAACTGCTGGTTTTTGTTCGTCAAGGCGATGCACGGTGACGAATGTGTCGGTGCTATTGTTTGCAAGCTGGATATACACAGGAAAGTGATAAAACGTGGATATATTGCAATGTTAGCCGTAGATGTGAAATATCGGAAACGGAAGGTCGGATCGAATTTGGTAAGGCGAGCGATTCACGCTATGATGGAAGATAACGCGGACGAAGTAGTTTTGGAAACTGAGATTACTAATCGGCCAGCGCTACGTTTATACGAGAATCTAGGGTTTGTACGCGACAAGCGATTATTTCGGTATTATTTGAACGGTGTAGATGCTCTGCGGCTAAAGCTATGGCTCAGATGAAATTCATCTATGTGTATATATATATATAAATATATATTATGATTTAATTATTATTGATATATATGTGTATATATATATATATATATAATGTATAATGTATATGTATATATCAATAATGGAATTAAATGATTTTAACATTGAAAAGAGATAACATTTAAATTGTGTAACGTCGAGAAATAGGGAATGTTAATGCCAAAAGAATTGTCGATTGTATATGGAGAAAAGACTCGTGTTGGAAAAAAATGATGTTTCACGTATCGTTTAATAACGTTGCATAAAGTTTACTTGAAGATTCACTCGTTACATTATGTCATTAGATCATTTGTCGATTAACATATGTTTACGTATGTTTCTTAATTTTATCGTGATAATTGATCGGTTGGAATCGTTGGAAGAAAGCAATTAATTTCTTTTGGTATTAACGTTTATCGGCATAGATTACAATTGCAGTTGGAGAGTATAAAAGTAAAAGGTGATAGTGAAAGAAAATCGATGCTGTCAAATGGCTACTAGAAATAGTAGATGTAGATTATCCTCATGCCTTATGCTATAATTATATGTATATAGACTGATACAATGAAGTAAGAAATGCAAAGTAAATTTTCAATCGATGTGTACACCATACAGCGTAAAGTGAGTATCTTATTAATAGATTTGTTGTAATGGAAAAAATTTTGGCCGCCGTTCGAGATACAATGTATGTACATATAAACTATTGGATATAAGCTCATTGTATCAGGTATTGCATCTGTTTATCGTGTAAGTATATTAGGAGCGCGCACGCACATGAATGCATGTGAATAGAGAATAAAAGAAAAAAGTATGATTTGCCAAATTAAAATATTCCGAAGAAAGTATGTCGCACGCGATTATCGCAGGGCCGTATTCATTGCTGTTTACTTATTATGTCTACCTTTGTATAAAATAAATTGCGAGGCTCAGATTGTATAATGTAACTATTAAAATATGTAAAAATGTTAATAAAAATACGAAAATGTTTTTAGATTCGATTACATTTATTTTTCGCAGGAAATTTGATGGAAAAATGGAAGGAAAAAAGAAAACCAGTAACATTATCGAATAATGTTATTCGTTAAAAATTTAGTAAAGAAATTTTGTTCCTTTTGTTCGAAGTTGTTTCGTTTGTTTCGATCCTCCCGATCGTATCCCATACTCGAGTATCCGGACCGTATTCGGACCGAAGAGGAAGGATAGTGTAACGGGGAGGAATGGAGAATCAGATTTTTGTAACATTTCTCCTCCCATTCCCCTTGCCATTCTCTGTATTTCGGACAAGTCCGAAAGTAGGAATCGAGGGAAAGGAAAGGTGAGCATACGAACTGTATGATTTTCGAATCGCTCAATTACCTACCGATCGCCGTATCGTTATTCTTTTCTGGCTATGTGAATTTCCAATCCGATATTTATCTCTTGGATCAAATTTACGGCTATTTTCAGGTTCAGGACTTTGAATGAAAAAATAAAAAAAAAAGGTAGACGAAAGTATTTGTGTAATTTTTTCTCATAACAGTTTGTGCCGCATGTACCTAAGTACGTATGCGTTTTCGAACGCCAACGACGACTGTTATTTTCGTTGGAAAAATTAGTGGAAAAGCTGGTGCAATAGGTGCACTGTTACCACCAAGGTTTTCCTCTCTCGACGGAAAATGTAGTTTCTTCTATTCTGTAACACAGGAGATGATTAATTATCGTAAGAAACTAATGTGCATAAATAGTAGAGTATACATAGAGGAGGGACAGACCTTGTTAGAATTAGAAGAAGAAAGTTGACTTTTGTCTGTGCCTCTGTTGTCTTCTTACTCTATACATATATGTATAGTATAATTTAATGTTTAAATGGCAACTTTGAGCAGCCGTGTATAGATAATATCGCGGATAATAAATGTTCTATCGTGTTCGAACGTGTTTCAGAGACCGGGAAATGGGTAACGGAAGAAAAGAGCGGAAAGCAGGTGTTTAAGATAGAGTCGCGAAAGCAAGGGTAAGTACGATGGACGATACCTAACGATAACGAATGATAACAAACGATAATGGTCGATAACGGAGAAGAAAAAGTACGCGTAGTCTCGATGTCGAGGCAAGTGGTACTTGAGAAAGCTATTTAAAATACATATCGTGGCAAGTGTACCCACGCACCGTATACAATTTATTGTGGCGGAGTTAACTACAGCAACAGCATTTTACACGATCGTTATTCATTTTCTAGTCACGAAAATTATTGCTTAAAAATCTCTTTATTTCTTGTTAAATTTTCTATCGTTTACAATAGTAATATCGTATAATCACGGCTTTGTTCGATACGCTAGAAACGAGCAAGTAGCGTAGGTAGAAATTGAATAGCAATTAATCGAAAGAATCTACAGCCGCAACTATAAGCTCGGTGATTAAAATGGATCATGTCGTCGAGGAAGCGTGCTTTGTTTTATATTTCAATGGCATTTCAAATTTCTATGAAAGCTCGTTTTCAGGCGTTTTGCACTCCCCTCGGGTCATCCATCGGTCCATCCATCGGTCCATCCATTCTTCCTATTCGGTCTACAGAATGAAGCCATAAAGGATCTTGGAAAGGAATGTGCGTTGAAAAAGGATATCGAATCGATTTTGACGATTAATTTAAAATCGCGCGATAGCAGAGCGGCGATAATGGTTTAAAGAAAACTCGGCTATGTAAGTAAAAATAAGTAAGTAACAACGGGAGCAAGAAATAGAATTTTTAACAATTTCAAAGAACGATCGTTGTTGTTGGTTTCAGTTGTGTTCATCTATCCGGTTTCCGAAATATTGAAAGCCACTCGTCCATCAATAAATAACATCCAATTATGCTTACGAGCAAAGTAAGTCTGCAATTTGTTAGCGATAATGTAATCTCTATTTCTCCGATACCACCCACCGAAACTTTATCGTATAACAGATAACGTGGAGATATACCCCCCTTATGGATTACCCTGATCGATAAGAATAACCGTGGTCGAAATAGCGATGGGAAATTTTCAGCGAGAATAGGAAGCAAGCAAGCAAGCAAGCAAGCAAACAGTATGTGAGTACGTACATATGTACGTACTTAGTTACCAGAATGAAGTTGCATCGAGTCATAGAATTCCGTGTTCGAGGGCTCTTGGCACGCATTGGTGATCGTCGCTTCGAGAACGATCAGTTCACATACTTCTGGATTGGATGTTTTGGTTCGAGCATGACTCGGTAGCAATGATCGTTGAAGGGTATTATTACCGTTGCATGCATTATCGTTTCGGAATCGTTCTTGGATTCTTGGAACGTGACCATTAACCGTTCTCGGGAAACACGGAAGTACCTTGAACGAAAATAATTTACAAAGTTTATAAAGTTTCCATTTCGTCGATACGTTCCGTTTTGTTAATTTCTAATCGCAGCGAAACGAATGGGCGTTGTGTACGGATGGGGTGGTGGTCCGCGGGGCTTCTTAAAAGTTCGTACTTGCTTAAATTCTTTGCGGAAGTTATCGTTGAGCCAAGCGTAAAGGAATGGGTTGTAACAGGTGCTGCTCATGGCGAGGCAGTGCGTCATGAAAAAGCAAAGTCTGTAATAAGACCAATCGTTGGCAGGTGTGTAAAAGTCGTCGACGACGTTGACGATGTTCAAAGGTAGCCAAGAAATGCCAAATATAGTGACCATAGCTATCAACATCCGGTTCGTTCGCTTCTTTCTCTCTCTCTCGACCTCCTCTCTCTTGTTGTTGCTGTTGGTGCCCGGCTTGGATTTAGCTCGATCGTTCAACTTGATCGAAACGCGAATATAGCAAAACGCAATCACGAAGAAAGGTAAGACGAATTGAAGTATCGAGGTGAGAGAGCTAAAGATTTTACGAAACCGTTCGGTCGGCCAATGTTCCTCGCAATAAGCGTACGGTTCCTCGAGATGCATGTAAAGCCCGTACGGCAACGTGACCAGCAAACTCACTATCCAGATACCAACGATTATGCCTAGGCAAACATCGATCTTCATACGAGGATGAAACGGGTATATGATCACCATGAATCTGTCGATCGCGATGCTCGTCAAAGTCAATGTACTGATATAAACGCTGACACCTTGAGCGTACGGCACCAAGTGACAGAGGGTTTTACCGAATATCCAACCACCCATAAACGTATAAAGAGGCGTAAACGGAACCGCCAATACGCAAAGCAACACGTCGCTCAGTGCCAGATTCGTAATAAACAGGTTCGTTACGGTCTGCATTTGACGATTTCGTGCCACCACGAAACACACCAGCGCGTTCCCGAATACACCCAGTACAAAAATGTTCCCGTAAAAGATATAAAATATTAGTTGCACTATAGCGTCCGAAGTCGCATCGTTCTCCACGGTCCAACGATTCGAGTCATTGTTATTAGCCGGCAAAATTTCCCGCGAAACCGTCACATTAATCATCATTATTCACGCCTCTTTCTTTCTTCTTCCCGTCTTTTCAAAATTCGAAAATCCTCTCTCTTTCGCTCGCTCTCTCTAAACACGAGTAAAAAGAGGTAAACTTTTGTTCGTTCGCTTCAACATTCGAGAAAAAGAACACAATTTCCACCTTCGGGTCGCTCGAATCGAACAAACTATCTTAAAAATAGTAAAATCTAGCGTTTCTCGAGGCTACCGAGGTAAAAACACTCCCCAAAAATAGAACAGAATTACACGATCACGAGTCGTCCAATCGACGCTACACTTCTTTTCACCCAAAACACTTTCCCAATGCAATTTACTTCTTTTATTTACCCGCTCGAAAAGCGAAATTTAAACAATTTAATCTTTGAATTTTAGTTTAGGCCACCTGTTAGAAATTACGCGTGTCGACGCGTTTACAACGTTTCAGAGAGCGGGAGAGCAGAGAGAGATTTTACAAACTAAACTTATTCTTCCAACATATTCTACGAATCCTGGAAAATGATCGACGATGTGGGTTACCTAAATAAACAAATTACAACATTATTTACAGATCGTATATCGTAATAGCGATATTGTATAGGTATTTTAAAAGCTACGCGACAAACGTGAAACCACTGTAGAGTTAAAAGCAAGCAAAAGCACAGCCAATAACAATTTTCTTTTCAATCCTATTTTTCTAAAGCGAGTTTAAAGCGAGGCGTTTTTTTTTTTTCCAGGAAACGTTCTATTTCTTCGAAAGAAAATAACAAGCAACTCGATGTTCTCTACAATATACATATTTTCGTTGGATGAAAAGTAACGACTCGCGCGCCCCTCTATTCGCAACGTTACACGAAACTTATCCAAAGTGACGACGAGCGGTCTTTCTATCGACAACTGAGAATGGAAAATCGCTGATGAACCTGACCCAGACCAGCCGTCGTTTTCTCGCGCACGCGTCTCTATTATCCTCGACCTGGCTGGTGGTGGTTACCTTTTCTATACTCGACTATTTTTCTCAAAATCATCAGCAGTACACTTTTCTATTCATATTTTTCTTTCATCTTTTCTCACTTTACTAAAAAAAAAAGATCTCAACACACACACACGCACACACGCACGCACGCACGCATACTTAATAAAATGCTCCTTGTAAAATACGGTAATTTATTAAGAGTTAAATGTTATCTTCCTGTATTTTTATCATAAATTAAGTCTAAAGCATTTCCATTATTTTATTACAATACAGCTACGTAACATTTTTGTCACTATCTCGGTACCTTTGCAATTTACACTTTACCATTAATTACTATTTCTTACATGTGTGTCTGCCTGCCTATGTATGCGCATACGGATATATGTATACAATATATATATATATATGTACATTATTTACTTGAATTAAAACGCAATTACACCTTGCCTGGTACTATAGCATCATAACTTGCCGCGTATTATTTCAACTTATATCTTACAACTATTTCGTAAATCTTTAATTGCACGTGTATCCTACGTCTAGTTATTCCTTTGCACGCTTCACCTTATCTCTCTCTCTCTCTCTCTCTCTGTTCATTTTACATTCTTCTTTTCTTTGTACAGTTCTTTTATATACACTTGTATCTACTTACTTGTGCGTGTACGAATGTTTACAGGCACGCGATTACGCAGTATCATGCAAGGTGCACAATGTCCAAGAAATCCGAGATATACGTCGACGGGAACTTGTATGTTTCTCGATAGTTTCGCACGATCGATCAAGCAGGGGTTTCATCAGCAAATTCTCCTTACAGGACATCACGATTTCTTACAAATATCCCAATACGTTTGAACCGACACTCGCGTACCGAGTAACGTATTCAAAAAATCGATGCTTGTATAAAAATATGAAATGATCGTTCTATTTAAAAGGACGTCTCTGTTTCTTCGGATCCGATGGATATCACGAGACACATCTTCCACGTTCCTCATCGTTACCATACACATTCCTGTACGTGTGCATACACCGACGCACGATACGTACTTACACGTACACCTTAGTAAAATTATTAGCGATCCAATGAAAAATCCTACATTAGCTCAATTTATACCTATTTTCACGGATAAGGAATTTTTAATAACAAACTTTATTATTAGTTATTGATAAAACGCTAAGAAAAAAGAATAAACAAAGAAATAAAATGTTACCTTCGGGAGTAATAGTTATGTTTTTCTTCGTTAGTCGTAGAAAAGGCAATTAACGAGTCTCGAGAAACAAATTTCTTTCTATTTACATTACATTAATGCGCGCGCCAAACTTGTTCAAAGTTCCTTCTCATAGACCCGATTTAGTACACTTTACATTCGAGTTGGACTAAATTTACACAAACTACTCGTCTCGGATCATCTCTTCTGCTCTTTCACGAACGAGTAGGATAACTGCCCTTTACCTTTTCACCAAAACACACTGATTCTCTTCTCGTCTAATCGTACGACTCGTCCAAGGTACGCTTAGAGTATACTATGTATAGTAACAACGGTATCGCCGCGCCGCGCCGCGCCGCGCCGCGCCGCGCCGCGCCGCGCCGCGCCGCTTTCATTCTACGTATGCTATCAGACATCATGTAGGTACTACATACTCTCTAAATGTTAATTATTCGTTATAAAAATTCAATACGAAGGCATGAAACTTTCGAAAATTCCATTTTCGAACAAGTTATTTCTATCGCTTCGCTTTCTATTTTACAAACGCCACGCGTAAAACAATTACTTTTTATTACAGGACAAATCTTTCCTCTCTAACACTATTTCTTAAACACTTCAGAATCGTTCGAATCTTCTCTCTGATCGATACAATATCATTTACTATTACTATTTCATTGCTTCTTTCATCGTTTTACGTCTCAAATATAGTACCACACAGTACAGTTCAACACCGAACAAATATTTTTCTTTTTTTCAATCGCATCAAGTACAAATATTGATGCTACTCTATATATGTCTGTTAACTGTTTGTTAATCATCTAGAAACTTATCAATTTACACACTATTTATCTTTACAATATTATCCTTTCGATTGTTCGTCTTTACCGATTACATACATCTATCATGTTTCCCGATAAAACTCGCCTCCGATACACTTCATCATTACTATTGTATTTCATTATTTAGAACAATATTCGGTTCGTACCGAACCGAATACGTGGTTTCTCTTCGTCAATATGCACATTTCTACACGCTATTTAACGTTCCGTGTCTTTGTGCACGCGCACGTCCCACCACGCTCTCACACGCACACCGAAATATAACATTTTCATGTAAATGAGAAAACTTTTTTTCTATATCAAATACTCGAATTTACTAATAAACTGAGATCGAAGCTGCAAACTGTTACAATTTTCATTCGTTAGATTCAAATGACTCTTTGAAATCTTTCGAATCTCAAAGAGAAATTCTCTTTCTTTTTCCTACATTCTGACAACACATGTAAACTAAACGATTACAAAAATAGCATATAGTTAATAATTTAATCTCGATACGATCCAACAATTTCTAGTTTATCATTTTTCTAAAAAGGTATACTTCAAGCTTAAACACACATTTCTTTATAATTAAACACTAATGATATTAAAATTTCTGCAAGAGAATTTTTTCATACGACAAGCTCGATAATACATTTTTTTTTCTTTATCCTGTATAATTTTTAAGGGCCGACAATGTCCGTGCCGATACTCAAAGTCTCGAAAAATAACAAACACATAAGTAACTAGAATCTGCGAGAATAAATATTCAAATATGCATTTACATATCATATGCAATTACTTTTACTAAAATAAACACTGTACACTGCCATATACATTTATGTACTATTATACATCCCAAAGAAAAAAGAAAAAAAACAACAAAAGAAACCCCTTTTAGGAGAAACGAGAAAGACTAGGGTTTATGAAATTACATTATGTCAACGAAACATTGGAAAAACCAATTATATCCTATTGCTACTAATAATGCTAAACCATACGGATAAATCAGAATTTTAAGACTACAAAGAGACATTTGCTATTTAACGTGTTATCGATAAACTTACACGAGAGACGCTATATAGAACAGCACGTACGCAGAAAGGTAACAACTATGCACAATTCGTTTTTTTGTACTATAGAAATTTTACAAATATTTCAGGTTTATATAATTGCAATTATTGTAAATATTAGTCTGTTTTTCCTGACAAGTATTGTCGGCACAGAACTTCTATGTACATAGATCGTAAACAGTATCTTTGTAACGTACACGGAGGATATAAATCTGTTTTCCATAATCCTCGAATCTTCCATGCAATAATTTTTCTTCTATACGTAACAAGTACGGAAGTTTCTTTGCAAATATTCACTAACTGAGAGTAAGAAAAATTATAATTATACAAACGTACCATGTATTCGTGAACCTAAACGAATCGACTCGATACGGCAAGTAAAATTCTTCCATTGATTAAGAGCGGTTCTCAAGGTTTCTGTTCAAACGAATTCGCATCGTAGACGGATCGCGCTAAGGGATCCTGGCAAAATTTTACGACTAAATAGATAATGTTTCTTTGATCAATTTCTTCATCGTGTTACCCATTGTTGTACTCGATGGACTAGACGTTGTAAAGGATAATTTAAACAAATATGGTTGTATATCGGGATACGAAGTATCAAAGATCAGATCCAATTCAGCTTGATTCGGCATTTTAGGAAGATAATCGTGACGATTCATTACTTCTGTTATGTAAAGAATTTTATCCGTCAATAAATCGCCAACTTTTTCCCTGCATATCTGTCTTTCGTGCTCTGTTGCTAATTTTATTAGTTCCAAACGTACTGTCCACACTTCCCATGGTATACATTCTGGCTGGAAGGGCCAACGATTTTTCTTCTTCTGAAAGAATTCCAACGATATTTGGCCAGAACCTGGACTATCCGTGGAGCGTAAAGCTTCAGAAAAACCTGATATTTCACGTTTCAGAGTTTGATCCAGATGCACCGACGAACAACAGACATAAGTAAAATCGATAAAATCACAGTCGACGTCTTGATATCCCACTGTACCTACGGAATAACTGCCTTCTTGTTTATATTTAAATTTACCAAGACTTCTGTGAAAAAGAACACTGTGGAAGATACTCGCTACCGCTTCGTCCACTTGTCGACCCTCCATACTTAATTCAAACAATTGAGTTCTTGCATTCATGGTGATTCCTATACAATAAAATTTAAATACTAATTAATCTCTACGTATTTTACGATAAACCACACAATGGATAAAGAAACGAACAATTTTATTTTACGGATGGCAAACAAGGAAAATATAATTACGTCGATAAATTTCTAACCTCGTAAAAGCAGCGGTAGAAACGATGATTATCACTCAAGACTTGCTGCGATATTGGATGATATTTGGTCATCTTTTAGTTGTAGAATATTGTCCAGTACTCCAAAAATACAATTAAATAATCAATGAACAACCTCATACAACCAATTTCTTACATTCTTGTAAAATTTTTAAAACGAAATTATCCGACACGTACGTGTTCGCATCAATATAAAACGAACAATTACGAAACAGACTTGTGTTACTCGGTTGGATATTTTATTTACAATTTCATGTAACAATGATTAGAAAAATGTTATGCTCGAGCGTGACTTTAACTTACTCGCTGTTCGTTTTTCTATCCTTCTGATTTATGCACTTTAATTTTCACGCTTCTCGTGATAAATACTTTAAATAAATATCATCATTTATAGTCGTTCCATTACCAACGACACATTGTACAATTCAATTAATCCTTGTACGAACAATCGTTTTCATCTGTCCTTTTCTTTAATACCTACACAACCCAGTTCCACTGCTATTACCACACCGCTACAACCACTCTTGTCACCACTCTATCGCCACTTTATTCTTTAAACCGATCCGTTATTCTATCATTTATTCTACCTTCTTCTTCTTCTTCTTCTTCTTCTTCTTCTTCTTCTTCTTCTTCTTCCTCACCAGCCATTCATTTTTAAATTCCTTTGCAAACTAATTTCTATGCTCGTGATTGACTTGTAGCAGAAAAACATTTCATTGAAACCAACAAGTTCTAGACTCTACGGATCTCTTTTGTCGGTAAACAACAGCTGTCCTCACGACACGCGCCATTTTATAATCTACATATTTGTTCCTGATTCTTTATATAGTATATAGGTATTAGGTACACAAGCATATCATCCACATATCCTCTATTCTGTGTCATCCTTCACAATTTACCCTCACGTTCTTCGTTACTACGCAGCATACTTTTTAACGAATAAAATTAATGTTTGGAGAAAGACGAATTTTCCTATTGTATACTAGTTGCACTCGTTTCTAAATAGCCCGTGTAGTAGAGTTTCTTTAAGAACCCAAGGGGAACATTTCATTTCAGAGGAAGGATTTTACTATGTATGTAAAAGAATTTTTTATCGGTGGGGAATTTTACAATATTTCGGACAAATACCCAATTCTCTAGTATGATTCTCTCTATGGCGAGTTTAGAAGGTGTTGGGTGTGGGTGTTGCTTAATTTTCATTAAAGCCAACGATACAACAAACATTACAAACCATATCCGAATAACTGTCACTCTATGAATAATCATCGGCAATTAAGGTGGATTTATACTATAAAAACACAAGACAGACCGGCATCAAAGGTATGTAAGTACTTACTTACATGACGATATTACCATAATTAACAATTGAAAAACAAACCTTCAAACGTTTTTCAGATATTCATGTAATTTCTGTACCATGTTACTTTCTAATTAAAACTCGATCTTAAGCACGAGAAATTTTAGCGTGATAATATGATTCTATTTACGAGGCCTCGCATTAGAATTTTAAACGAACGAAAAATTCATGTCTGTCGGAAACCAGGATTTATCGCGTGGTCATTGCTTGGTCGTAAGATACAATTCTATTAGAATACAATCGTTTAATTAAAATTTCGTAATAGACCCGATATACTTATCTAATACTCGTATCTGTAGTTTTTAAAGGTACCGATACTATGGTTGTAATTAATTATTAATTGATATAAACTCGCTTCTTCGTTTTAGTGTCTACAATTATTTTCATCGAAATAGTTCGTCATCTGTCGGACAGTTTTCTTTATCCGATTAGTTTACTTTTGGGACAAATCATGTTCAGTCTGGATGCGTTTGGAGAATGGCAGGATTTATTATTAGATAAAGACATGAACAATGTTGTAATTAAAAAATACAGTTGGACGGATAACTTGTACTCGAAAGCATTCTACGATTCGTGCATTGTAATGAAACTTAACGATATAAGATATGTTGGAGTTTCTGTCAATACGGGACTCTTTATCATTAATCAAAATGGGGAGACAATCTCTTTAAGTATGCAAGGCTTTGCAAGGGAAGAACTACAGAAACTTAAAGGAGAGATAAATCACTTCTTAAATGTAAACAAAATTAAATTGCTTGTCTCTGTTAGTAAAAATAGTTTGAACCGATCGTTTTCAATCGCATCTAATACAGACTGTATACATTGTACACAAACTAAACTAACGCGATAACGATATTAGATAAAGTATCATGTTTAATAAATTAAATAATTATAAATCGTATCGATTAAAAAAATTGTAATTGAAGTTTATCGATACTTGGATACAATAAACAAAGACGTTAGCAAGTTAATTCGCAAAAGAGAAACATCTAGAAAAATGTCCTTAATAATTCATCCTCTACGATCACGTATATTCATACTGCACCTATATACACACACATCGTACATGTATTATATAAACATGTACAATTAAATGCGAATCAAAGTTTTTAAGTGTACGCGGATTTAATATCAAACAACTACCTATTCCTATTTCAAATATTTTTACCAAGTATTTCGGCACACGCAGAATTTATATCGGGATACTGGTACTGAAATCCCAATTCTCTAACACGTTTGGGTACAACCTTTTGTCCTTCTAGCATAATCTGAAACGGGACTGGTATAATCGTCGACAGCAACAAGAAATAATTTAACAAATACTTTTACTAACTGTTGCTCGTTCTTTGTTTAAAAGTATTTTCAAAATGATGCTTGGTACAGGAATAAATGCAGGCCTCCGCATCGTCGATGCAAATACCTTTGTGAATTCTTTGTTTGTCACAATCTGTTAATAACATTTATAAATCATGTAGATTTAGGAAAATTTAGACAATTTTAATTAAAGTAAATCACCTGTGGAGCGACCCCGTTTAATATACCATGTATATTTTTGTTCTTAAGCGAAAATAAGAACATGTTGACTAGATCCGTTATGTGGATCCATGGCATATACTGATTTCCATTACCGATAGGACCTCCCAAACCAAAGATAAATGGTAGATATATATTTTTAATCATACCACTATTCTTTCCTAATACAACTCCAGATCTAATCGTAACTTGTCTGACGGTACTGTTTTGTGGAAGTTGCGCGGCTGCTTCCCACTTATGACAAAGTTCTAACGTGTAAAATGATTATTTCGATCTAACATAATCTATGCAATGTCTGCATAAATTTAATACAAGTTACGAATTTACCTGATAAAAAATCATATTTTTCACATTTGCATTCTTCCGTATATTCTACATCGTTTGGTTTATAATAAGCTACTCCAGAAATTGTTAGAAAAACATGAGCTTTAGTATTAATTATAGCTTTAGCCAAGAATTCTGTTGTTCTCACTCGACTATTTAAAACATTTTGTTTAAATCCTTCTGTCCAGCGTTGTTTAGGATCAAGTACATTTTGACCAGCAACGTTAATAACAGCAGTTGTATTTGCAGGCAAACCGTAACATTCTAAATCGTTCTACGAGTGGTTTTGTATTACATATTGACGTTATCAATTATTTGATATAGAAATATATCGCGTAGGTTATCTTACCCATGATATTCGATTAGGTCCAGGCATTCGCGAAATACACGTACATGAAACTCCTTTACTAGATAACGACTTAATTATTTGTGTTCCGATAAAGCCTGTACCACCACCTGAGGCAATTATATAACCTTATCCGTGACATAACCTACTAATTGTTATTTCTAAATATTATTAAGAGATTTCTGAAGAAAAATAAACTTGCCTACAACTACGTGTTTCAAAGCCATTTTATCAGAAAAGAAAATGTATTATGAAATGTATAATATTTTTGCCAAGTATACGCATTAACGTTACATTAATCTTATCGAATTGTATCAGAGGTAGAACCATAAACTATTGAATAGTACATGTAAGTAAGTATGTACCATGTGATTCAAATAAAGTCTTTCAAGCCGTTTTCTCCAAAATCAAATTGACATACTAACTTTATTTTTATTTTTATTTAAATAGTCTGGGGGTAAAAGTGAGAGGGGGGTGGGGGGGGGGTGTAAAAGAACAAATTCTGGGGTAACCCGGGTAACCGTTGAGAGGAAGAAGGGGGCCTCCTAACTACCCTAGATTTTTTCAAATGGAAGATGGTATAATTTTGTTGTTGATATTTGATTAAATCTTACCAAACTGAATAACATTCACTTTAACCACCTTTCTGTTTATCATGAATGGTTAAAGATTTATGGCGAAAAATTTGTTCAGAATCTGGGTATAGAATTGTCGCGAGGTCGTGGCATATACATACAATACATACAATTTAAATGGCATTAGCCTTTCGATTAGCGAAGTTAAACGAGATATTTTATCAGTTAACAGTCATTCTTACTCTCTGCCGCTTTCACAGATTTGAACTTTGTAACTTCCGTATGTATCGAAACATATTATACATATACCTATCGTATATGTGTAGGTACGTAGGTAAATGAATTTGCGGTGCCATTCACGCATACGTCATGAAATATAAAAGATGGCGTCAACACTAGAAAATTTAGAAACACATTTGGAGCTTTTTATTGAAAATGTAAGACAAATACGAATCATAGTAAGTGACTTTCAGCCTCAAGGGCAGAATGTATTAAATCAGAAGATGTAAGTATTATATGTCGTATTCTTTTTAATATATTCCTGTTAAATATTCAACATCAACTAAAACAATATTAACTTATACTTTTTATACTGACAATTACTACACGTGGTTTGAAATAATCTAAACGTACAGTATGCAATTAATGCAACATGTAATATATATATATAGTTTATGATAATAACTGACAGGAATTCGGTTCGATGTAAATTCAATGAGGTCGTTTTTCAACGAAGAAAGACATTTAAATTTTGATTTATTAGGGATAAGATTGATTATCATTAATTAAAGTTATGTGTAATTGTTGAAAAACATTTATTACAATAGTTATTGCGTTATTAGTAATTTTACATGTTTAATTATTTATAAAGACCGATTGAAAGATAATTATCAAATAAAATAAATAATCATGTACTCTGAGTTTTGTTATTTATTGTATATGGTATGATAACACATGCATGTCGATGTTTTTATTTTTTAGTCAAGGTTTAGTAAATGGCTTACAAGAAATAGACAAACTGAAATCTCAAGTTCAAGATGTCCATGTACCTTTGGAGGTTTTCGAGTAAGTATACGTAGTTTTGTTGTTTTAGAGTTTACGATCAAAGTTTAAAAATAATAAGTTATTTATATATACAACTTATCGTACATGATTTCAGTTATATCGATCAAGGCAGAAATCCTCAACTATATACGAAAGACTGTATCGAAAAGGCATTAACTAAAAACGAACAAGTGAAAGGTAAAATAGACGCTTATCGTAAATTCAAAGCAAATATGCTTGTAGAATTAACTAGAGTATTTCCACATGAATTGGCTAAATATAGAGCAATACGTGGCGATGAGTGAAAAAGTGAATTATTCAATACGATATCCCTGTCCACCTTCCTTTTGTTAATTTCTCTATTCGATCGTAATTGCGATCGAGGATGTTTATTGGAAAAAAAAGAAACGATGTACAAGGAATTTAAACATTTTATTTCCATTATATGCGTCTTAGAAATATGCATTTAATGTATTATTTTATTTTATGATCGATGATGAAATACAGAACATTGAGGTTAATGTGGTAGTACAATTTATAATCGAATGCACTTTTAAATCATCAAATTTCAGAGAACAGTTTGCGGCACAAAGAAATACGTTTCAAGCATTTTTTCCCACGGCGAACAGAAGTTGACGTTAAATCTTATTATATTTATATTTTCAGTTTTTGGTCCGTAAAAGAATGTAAAATATTGTTTAAGGGTACATGTCTATTAAAACGATTTCGTTTAAACGATTTAATGGATTTCAATGAAATTTAATATTCGCGTTTCGTATTCTTATCTCAAGATCTAATTTAACTTTGAGCAAAATCCGTGTCTATGGATAAAAATTGTGAAAAAGTTAAATCTATTTCTTCTAATAACGAGATGAAATCCGATTCGTTGCACAGTTAATAACATTAATAACGATATCGTAAGTATTGTCAGTATGTTGCGTAAGCGTAGCAATGTATTTGTCTTTGTTAAATTTTTAAAAAAGAAATCTGATATCTTTGTTTCTGGTTTTCCAATTGGTTTGCTGACGCAATATAACAGGTTGGCGAGAGTATTTCGATATTAGTTGAAAGTGTGAAAATAGGTGTACAAGATTCTTTCAAACGAGAAATTTTTTAACCTAACTTGAGTGGCACTATGCAACAAAGAGAAATAAATTTTCATCACGTAGTATCTGTTTCCGATATCGAATACATTAACTTTCAAATTTGTTACACGACAATGTCGGCACTCCCACTCGTTGAAAAATTCCCCTTCCAACAAAATTCTCTTTATAGTTTGCGTGGAGAGAATATTTTTGTTCGATGAAAGGTGTGTACTGTGTACGGTCATACGGTGTATGGCTATGGCCCCATACGAGGGACGGGACGACGGTTCTGATCGTAGCTTATGGTTGGGAAGTATGATTCTTTTATTAATTACTGTGTTTCTCGTTCAAACTGATGTCAGAGTTGATGCCGAGGATGCCTATTAGTATGTATTATGATTATTACTTTACAAAGCTTTATCAGTAAAATAATCATTTCATTAGCGAATCTAAATTCCATATAGAGAGAATCTGTTTATCTTTCAAGTAACAATCAGGAGGTGTCGTCTGACAATGTTTGTGACAGTATAAATTTTGCTTCCAGTTTTCCCTGGCATTATAAATGCGAGGGTGGGCTTTGTAAAAAGGAACTAATCACGGAGGACGTGAATTCACCGTTTTCGTTGGAAGTATGCGAATTATTTTGCGGCGCATCCAGTTCGTTATGGCCGAAACCAACGGGACACCTTTCTTTAAGCAAAGCCATGGTCCAGCTCGATCCTGAGAAAATTTCAATAGCTGAGACAGATAATGGGAAAGAAATTGGATATCTGGTTGCAAGGAATATGTTTTTATTGAGAAAGAGCGCGAAGGAATGTGGCGGGAAATTGGCGGAAAGTGGTGGCGCGGGCATGTTTGTTCGATTTAAAGGAATCGTTGAAAGCAGCAATATTAAGCTTTCTTTGGACACGGATGAAAGTTATACGTTGACTGTTACGCGAGTAGATGAAACGGTGAGGTTGCGAAATTGTTCACACATATTATCCCTTGTGTTTGTTTCGATCGCGAGAATGGTAGGACGTTGACGGTTTTCTTTCTTTCTTTCTTTCTTTCTTTCCTTTTCTATCATTTAGATGTTAAATGTAACGATAACGGCGAAATGTTATTTTGGAGCAAGACACGGCCTGGAAACGTTGCGGCAGCTGATAGTTTTCGATGATTTACGAAATCAGATTCAGATGCCAAGCGAAGTATCGATCGCGGATGGGCCTGTTTATCCTTACCGCGGACTATTACTGGATACAAGTCGTAATTTCATCGACAAGTCGATGATAATGGAAACGATCGATGGAATGGCCATGTCGAAGCTGAATACTTTACATTGGCATATTATCGACTCGCACAGTTTTCCGTACGTGAGTAAAAGATGGCCAAAATTTTCGGAATTTGGCTCTTATACGCTTAAGAAGCGCTACACCGAGATGGATGTTAAGGAAATCGTTGAATACGGGTTAGTTAACGGCGTTCGGGTATTGCCGGAATTCGACGCACCTGGCCATGTGGGCGAAGGATGGCAATGGGTATGCTCAAACTGTTCTTTACCTTATAGTAGATGTAAGGTAGAGTAGCTATGTCGTTTCGTCGCGACAAGGCTGTAAAGCTATTAAAGGAAGGAAAATCATAATCGCTACTTTCAGGTGGAAGACGACGATGCTGTCGTTTGTTTTAAAGCAGAACCCTGGAGAAATTATTGCGTCCAGCCACCTTGCGGTCAACTTAATCCGACCAGCGAAAAAGTATACCAACTTCTGGAAGGTATATACAAAGACATGATGGAAGATTTTCAACCGGACATTTTTCATATGGGCGGGGATGAAGTGAATATAAATTGCTGGAATTCATCGAGCAGCATTAAAAATTGGATGCAGGCTGCGAAAGGGTGGAAACTATCAGAGTCGAGTTTCTATAAGCTCTGGAATCATTTCCAAGAAAGGGCGTTGGAAAAATTGATTCTAGCTAATGGAGGGAAACCCATACCTGTAATTTTGTGGACCAGCGGTCTGACCAACGCGGAAAATATTCATTATCTGGACCCGAATAAATACATCGTACAAATTTGGGTAACCAGAAAAGACACTACTATCGATACATTGTTGCAGAATAATTTTAAAGTGATCTTTTCGAATTACGACGCTCTTTATTTAGATTGCGGGTAAATAAACAATATACTGCATGGTAATAATAAAGCGTGTTACAAGTTGCTTTTCAGAAACGAATCATTGAAAATATCAATTTTGTTGTTTCTTTTAAGTGAAACGATCCAGGGAAGCTAAGCTATTTAAAAAAATCTAGAGAATTCCCATTTTTTCTTCCCATTTATCTTGATTAGTTTCTGAGAATATCGTACAAGTTTGAACGTACGACGAAATACTCGTTTCTTTGATCTTGTTCCCGTTGTTCGTTTCAGATTTTCGGCATGGATAGGCGAAGGTAGCAACTGGTGTGCTCCTTATAAAGGTTGGCAAAACATTTACGACAATTCTCCTTTGAAAATAATCAAGTCGCATCAACTGGAGAGCAAAAGGCACCTCGTATTGGGTAAATCTTTTTCTTTTAGAAGCAACAAAGAAATTGTGATTGGTCGTATTGTAAGGGAGCGGCGAGTGATGAATAAAGAGGAGGAGCATAGTAAAAGGTATGTGTGTTGTAACAGGCGGTGAAACAGCTCTTTGGACGGAGCAAGCCGATGGTGCGACGATCGGTTCGAAAATCTGGCCGAGAGCTGCAGCTTTTGCCGAAAGATTATGGGCGGAGCCAAATTCGAGTTGGATTCACGCGGAGCAAAGAATGCTCCGGCACAGAGAACGATATGTAAGAAGAGGAATCGCAGCGGAAAGTTTGCAACCCGAGTGGTGTTTGCAAAATCAAGGCCTCTGTTACGCGTAATTTGCATTTAAAATATTATTCAACGTTTAAAAATGATTAAAATTTCTTTTTTTTTTATTTTTACTTTTTTCGAACAAATAAATAACTTTCCTTTTCTCTTTCGCTGTCTCTTCTGACCCGATTCTTTCCTGCTCTATATTTCACTTTTATTGTATTTTTCTTCCGATTTCGATCAGACACGTAACTAAAACCATTACCATTATGAAAATAAAGGTATCCATTTTATTTCGACAATTATCATTATTATCATTATTTACGTGTAATCGTTGACCAATGATTTTTTTTATCTATTTGCACGTGTTTAGTTTAAATCGTAGATGGAAAGTTATTTGGTTTAAAAGCTTTGTCGGTATCGCAAGAGTAGAATTTCGTGTAACTGGAAGCGCAATAGGGAAATTTACGTTAGGTTCACGCGTTCTCTTACAAGTTTGAAATAGATATTACATGTCGGTGATACTCGTGTGTTATTTCGCTCGTGGATAAATACGTTTTTCTTTCTTATTTACCTTGTTAAAGTTTGCTTATGTTTCAATTGGTAATCGAAACCAATCGTTGGACTAATAATTGTCCTCTTTGTCGTCGAACGGTGTTTTCACGAAATATGTGACCAAGGTGCCTTTCCCTTTAACATAAGTAGGTCCTCGACACGTCAATTCGTAGCCAGCAGCTACTAAAATCTTTGCCGTGTCCTCGGTGACTTGAAGCTTTCCCATTTCTCCGCAACTGTCCATCCTCGATGCCACGTTTACGGTGTTACCCCAAATATCATATTGAGGTTTTTGTGCTCCCACCACGCCTGCTATCACGGGACCGTGATTCAAACCTTGTCGAAATAAATTTCCGGACATACATAGAATTATTGTTAAAAGTTTGAATCGTCGGTAAATCGTCGGTAAATCGTCGGTAAATCGTCGGTAAATCGAGAGAAACGAGGATGATAAGTGGTCTCGATCGGAGAGGAGAAAGGGAGCTCACCGCGGATTAGGTCTGATAGTTTGTAGGGGTAGCGATCGATCGATCGGTGCAGTTTAAAAAATACGCGTTGGACGTATGTACGGTATTTATCGGTAATTGCCCACTCACCTATTCTCAGTTTAAATCTTTGAAAAGATTCTTTGTTGATTTGGTCTAAAATGGTCATCAAAGCAAGAGCAAATTCAACGAGAACGATTACATTGTGATCTTGTTGCTTGAACGGGTCCTAAAAGTTAACAAACGAAAAAATGTCTGATATTTTATCTGATGTTTTACACGTACTGACCTGAAACGTGTATGTATACGTATAGGAAACTATACATACATATATGTACATGATGGGTATAGTGAAAAAGTAATATGTATACATTACCTACCTTTCGATCGGCATCTTCTTTCCCTGGACTTAGACCAGATGCAAGCATATATGTGCTCCCGATAGTTTTAATCTTTTCAATGCCGGAAAATTTTGGTTTGAGCAACAATTTGTCAAAATCGCAGATAATCTCGTTTAATAACCTGAGACATTCTAATCCTTGCTTATTGATGTCAGTTTCGTCATAGAATTCCTTGTAATTTGGAATAGATGCAAACATGACGGCAATGCTACTATATCGTTCGTGATAAAGATCCTATTCGGTGAAATATCTGTTTAATCGTTTTTGAAATTTTCGTTGGATCGTTGGTATTGGTTGGTATTATTTCGAACTGAAATTCACCTGAATGGCTCTGACGTTTGTTAAGAAATGCTCTGCTACGTGAGCCGGCAATATATTCTCGAGAAGAATTTTGTTGATGCCCCTCATAGTCTCTACTTGGTCCTGTTCGATTTTTAGTTTACTTTGCCAGAGGAAATCAATTCTCGAGGTATATTCTACTTGTCTGTCCAAAACGTGCAATATAATGCAAACGAGTGCGAGCAAATATCCAATTTGAAGGAAGCAGTGGACGCGGTAATGTCTGTGAAATATTCTATCTAGATTTTCTTTTTTTACAAGTAGGACAGAGGGCGGATGGATGGGCGGACCTGCTTTCGAGTAATAAGTAGTGTAGGTCGATGAAAAGATTACACGACTATTAGGTTACAGCCAATTAGGAACCGTGTCACATCTTCTGATCGGCCTACAGTACCTACTTATGGCTCCGGATTTTCGTACTTACTCGTCATTTTCGATCGCGCAGTACAGTCGTATGGTCGTTACTTGCGAAAACGTTGCAAGGATCGTTGTTACGGAGAGGAACATTACACAGAATTTAAGTAAGAAATCAACGCGTAAATATGTCCAACCAACGATCAGAGACATCACTGCGGAATAAATGTATAGCTGAAACAACGATATTGTTTCTTTTATCTGAAATTTCACCGAATGTCTTCAACTACATATACATATGTATAGATATAGAGCGTGTTTAAACCTAAATGTGGTTAATTCTGTTACTAATTGTGCTTATCTGATCAAGCCTGTTCCATACGAACTTGATACGTACTGGCGCGACATGGTAGCCGTTTGTTCGATCGGCATCGATCAGGCTCAGCATGGACGAGCCGGTTGACAGAAACACCGTAACCAAGTACGCCGTTATTCGGACGCCTCTGGTAAAAACTATCCGACATCGGGAAACGTTACCTTGGGTTTCAGTTTTGCTGGCTAGCCAACATATCGCAGTAAAAATGAACAGGAATAAGAAGCCAAGGAGAAAAGAGCCGTAAACTATGACGCTTCTGTAAGAGGATCGATAATCCGTCTCTAGGTAGAGCACTCTTTATCGGGAATACAAGTAACCATAACACCATTCGGATCGTCATTATTTTTTGCAGGATACTTACTTGGGTAAATAAATAATCTGAATACAGAAGATGATCGCGTAAATTGTATCGGAGGCGAGAAGATACCAAAGATATTGTTCGTCGACTTGTTCACGGAACCGAAGTTCTTGATTTTGGTCGTTGAATCGGTAAGTAAATGGTGACATACCCTCGTTACCGTTACCGTTACCCAAACCGTTACCGTTACCCAAACCGTCGCTACTACCCTTGCACCATTCTCTGTCGCGTTTCAACAAATACATACGTTATTCATTAGTCGCTCATCAGAGAGACAGAGATAGATACAACTCACTTTAGGTTCACGAAACAATTTACATTTCTGTTGGATAACAAATTCGATTCGATCATGGCGATACTCTGAAAGAAACAAAGGTCTATATCGAATCGTTTAAATGGTATTTTATCGTAATAGTATCTATCAAATGAAATTTCATTATCTTGTGAAATAATTTTGTTTGCGTAGGAGAAAAAGAAGGAGGAAATGGAATGGAATTTTCCGGTTTCCGGTTTCCGGTTGCCTGCCGGTTGGGGTGACATTTTCGTCCGCAAAGAGAGCTACTTGGCTACATCGTATAGAGAGAAGCAAACGGTAAGAAGGGAAAAATTAGTAAAATTTCTTTTACTTACCGTTAGACCGATATTTTTTGCGAGCGTAGCTTCCGCGATATTAGCAAAAGGCTTATCCGCGCCCCAACATTCAACATATTTGGTCATTTTGCTACTTGGTCTTGATCTGTTTATAAATAAAGGAGACTGATCTATCAATTAGTTTATATGTACAATTTCAAATATTTCTTCTCTTTCTCCAAATTAAAATATCTGTCCTGTAGATTTGACCGATTATCATGTACCGGGTAGCTATCTACTCTCGCGTCTAGTAATCTACTTGAAATGAAATTAGGAAATTGCAATTGTAATTGACACAGACATACATAAGTACTTATATCTATCTATCTACGTCGTCGTTGGATGATAATAGATAACCGGTGCAATCAAGCGAAACGATATTGTATGTACATTGTATATCCGGTGCAATCGACTCACCTTGACGGTACCGAAGCGGCTCCGACATCCTTTGAACGTTCTCGACTGATTTTCTAACAGAACAATCCATCATTGATCTATCACTCGTACACGTACGTAACAACCTCTCGGGACGATAAAAAATATGGAATAAATGTTACCTTTGGTGGTATTATCAAGAAAGTTTCGACGTTGTGGCAAGCAAGATAGCTTTCTCTAGATTTCCCATCTCCGGGTTCCACTTGGAAACAATTACCGAGTTGATGCAAGGTAGCTTCGGTTACGTGTACTCTCCTTGGGACAGACAGACAGACACACACACACACACACACACACACACACAGAGAAATCCGATGAATGGTTATGATCGAGAATATAGAGAAATCGATATCTGGTGTACAAGTTACAAGTTACAAGTTACCCCGGTAATCCGCCACTTTCCATATGATTTGCCAGAGTAACGTCGTCGCTCCAAACGTCAAATTGCCATTTTCGTAGGCCGAGTACTCCGCATAACACGTTCCCGGTATGTATACCGATTCTCATGTCCACGTTAAATCCCGTTGCTTCGCGAACAAATCTAACGAAGCGTAAAAAGCCAAGGGGAACGGTTTGTCAGAGGAAATGTAACCTTGTTTCCCTTACCTGATCGCATCGATCATTTCCAGTCCCATGTTTACACAATTGTACGCGTGATTCGGCCGAGAAACCGGCAGTCCTGACACGCAATAGTAACAGTCGCCCAATATTTTTATTCTCATGCACTGATTATCCTAAAACATTTTTACGAAACTCGAAAGTTTTCTTTTTTCTTTTTTATTCATCTTAGAAACTAACTAGTTTTAAAGTAAAATCCAACGATGGTAGTAGTACGTTACCTGTGCAATTTGATCGAATCTTCCGAAAAGTTCGTTCAACGTTTTCACCAGATCCGAAGCTGATAATTGTTCCGATAATGGTGTAAAATTCACGATATCCGCGTACAGAATACTGATATACATGGGCAAACAAAATCATATCCGTGTTTGGTTATTGTGCCGCCGCGTTTTACCGCCGCGTTTTACCGCCGCGTTTTACCGCCCCATCTAGCCAACTTTTACCTTTTCTAGCTTACCTAACGTTGTTATGCCTTTGCACGTACATCTCGTGAAATCTGGTCTGTTGGTGGTTACTAACTTCCTGACAAGCATCAGCCATTTTCAGCATAATGCTTCTTTTCACCTATCGTCGCGACGAACAAAGATACACATTTTGAGTGGATAGCACCGCCGCGCCGCGCCGCGCCAGGTACGCGACAAAATACTATACTCCACTCTCTCACCTCTGCAGCTATATACGCTGGAATAACGCTCAACAATAATTGTTCTTGCTGTTCTCTTTCGCATTCTAGCTTTATTCGGGATTCGATGACCGTTTTTGTCCCAGAGAACGTTCTTGCGTGCGCTTTTCCGGTTAAAATACTGTAATACGAACCCGAAACGACTGCCACCGATAGGAATATCATTTCACTGCATATCTAACGAATCGAACGATATTAGAACGAATGTACGATACACGATGTACGATACACGATGTACGATACACGATGTACGATACACGATGTACGATACACGATGTAGTTGCAGAATAAACGCATAACCGGTAATACCTGCTGAGCCGATTGATAGTAATTCGACTGATCGGAAAACAGAAATTTTCCACCCAAATGAACAATTATAAAGATAACTGCAAGGATGGTTGGCGTTTGTCGGTTGGTTCTCGGTAACACGGCAATCATTGCCAGAATGGTAATAAATAAGGGTACCGAGCCTCGAACGATCAAAATTCCAACACCGATGATCGTGGAAGATGCGAAACCGATAATAAATCTGGTTCTGGATGAAGTTAAAGCCGACGGCAGTTGCGTAAACAGCAGTAAACTCAACGAGGAAAATAACATTGCCGTTAAACTCGATGCAGGGACAATAACTTTCGATAAATCCTACAAAAAGAAACTGTTTTAAATATCATTCGTATGAAATCGATACCAATGTGTATGTATACGCATCGTTTTCCGGCATAATAAGCATAGTTTCGAACAAACTTGATCCGGTGTTACCTTCTACCGTGGACAAAGTAATTGACTCGTGATTTTACCCGGTAGTTGGTAGCGCAGAGGTCTCCTATCGCGAAAACCGAAGCGGCTACAGCGACGAACAAAGTACCGGTATAAAGCGATGTCGTCAATTTTCCCTCGTACTTGTCACGAAGTTGTTCCAATTCCTCGACGTTCGCTTCGTTCGCTTCGTTCGCCGCGCGCTCCTCTGATTTTTCTAAAATAACATCGTGTACACGATCAAACTTGTTCAATGAACAATTACGAGATCGGTTCGTAAGTAGGATGGGAGACGGACCAAGAGAAATATCGACCGGCCGCCGTCGATCAAGCGGCTCGGATCTATGCACATACAATCGTAAAAGGAATCAGTCAACTTGCATTCATGTATACGCACATACACACACACACACACATTATGCAGAAAGACACTTACGCACAGGATTATCGTATCGTCCGCTCGGTTGCATCGACAACTGTTGGCGGTGCTGGTGGTGGTCAGGACCACCTCGTGCCTCTTTATTAATAGCGAGTTACGTCCAAAATAGAAACGAACCGCAAACTGTTTGCAGTGGACATGAACGCTCTCGGATCAATTCGATTATCGATCGCTTACACATGTCTACACATAGTATACATCTATGCGTCTAGTGTTGTTACGTTTATTGTTACAACGGTTTTACAACAATATCATTATACAGCAGGGCATAGGATACGATATTTTACCCAACTTCGATTCGAGCGAAATTAGACAACACCATACTCCAACAGGCGGCATTAGACTCGATCGACGGTCAAGAACAAATTTACGAAACGATTCATTTTATATATCGCGTTAGAAAGATTAATTGCTGTTGATTAACGTTTCTTAACAATCCGAATAAACCTTATCGATCATTTTCTTGTACGTACGTAGCCGATGGTATTATGATACTATCGGTCGAATCGATTCTATCGAACGTACTCAAACGAGTCAAGATTCGTGTTTAGTCGAGAGCGTGACTGGCTCCCGCTAAACACATTTTGTTTTCCTTTCGATCGGTGTCGGTCAGACGACCACGACCTGTGTGTGTGTGTGCACCATACCACGACCGTGCTGCGATCGAAAATGTCGAGAAATATGGCAACAAAATAACCTCGGTTTTCAGATATCCGCGAAATCCAACATAAAACAAGGCTGCGTGTCAAAGAGTAATGTTGATGATTGTGAATCCGAAAAGAAATTCAAAATGGCGGCGCCAACCAGATCGACCGGATCGACCGGATCGACCGGATCGACCGGATCGACCGGATCGACCAGATCGGTATGTTAAACAGATCTTCTTAGATCTGTCGAGAAATTGAATAAACCTCTACGAGCTCGCACTACTCTATCTATCCTACCTACTTGCTGCATGTATTTATGTGCGTTGCGAACGAAAAGGACGATCAAGAAATGGGTGTGCCGTGCATTACGTCGTGTACGTTGGTTGCATTTATGGAAAACCAAACGGGGGTGGGGGCTGGGAGTTGGAGGGGGGGATGGTTAGCACTTTAATTTCGACAATTGGCCAATGTCCAACAAGTATTATTTTCATTCTATTTCGCTAGAGTTCTCCACGTAATTTCCACCATTCGTATTTATTTCGTGAGCAGCAGGTATCCGTTCTGCGCGTTTACGTACGTACAAACATTACGAAACGTTCCTGAATACCTTGCGTTCGGATAAATGTCGTTCACGGTAATCGAATCTGCGTAGATAGAGACGAATCGTTTCTATTTTCCACATCATAAACAGTTACCATCTTTCTAGACAATGTACACTCTATAGACCGGAATTGCGTTACATTTCAAATCATTAACATTGTTCGGTATCGGGGTTTCTATCACACCAGGAAACGTGCATTACAACTTAAATTACGATTAAACGCAACAATTTTCAATTTTCTTCAAAGAAGAAAATCTTTTTTACATAGCTGACGAGAATGGTCAGAACAGGTATAAAAAGTTAAGGGGAATATGTTGCTCCTCGACTAACTTGTTATTTATATTAGTAAAAGTTTCACATGTACACATACAGCGCATACACGGACGCTCAACGATCGTGTTCTTACCTTCGTTCGACATATCGGTCATACAATTTTTCTTTCTCCTTCTTTTCTCCGCTTCCTTGGCTATCTATCATCTATTTCCTCTTCAAACTCTTCTTTATTGCTTCGAATCGATCGATAACTTGCGCGTTTTCCTCCCTTTATCCTATCGAATTTCTCGAACCGTGATTCTGTTTCCGTTTCCGTTTCTTTTCTTTTCTTTTCTTTTCTTTTCTTTCCACCCGCACTGGTGTTCAAGATGCAATTTTTTTTAACATATTCCTTTCTCAATCTCTAATATTTTATTATCGCGCATAAATTTAGTCGACGCACACAAGTAACAGCCAGCACATGTACGTATAGATACGTACTACATAGATCGAATACTGGACCAACCGTTGTCGCGGTTGCAAGGTCTGCAACTGGTGGCCGAATTACGAGCCAAGTTTATCTCAAAGCTTTTCTAACGTACACTCCATTCAGGACAACTCCTTCGTTACAAGCTTCGCCATATTTTCGGCCAAACTGTACAACCTATGTAAGTGCGTGTACATGTACATATGTGTACGTACGGTTCGGGAAATAAATAAAAACATTTTCAAATCTTGCTAAAAATTTCGTTATATTTTCTCGGTTAAAATTTCGTCAATTTAAAATTAATCGAATGAATTTACAACACCCGGTAAAATATTCATTACGATAAGTACATAAAAAATTCCGTTTGTTCGGTGGTCGTCGTAATTTATACATCCTTTCTAACGTTATAATATAAATTTCAATTCGTGTACGCGTTACAAAAATTCCATCTCACGCTCGATACCCACGAATTTTAATTGTTCCGTCGGTCCGTATCTGTAAAGAAATATTAATCCGTTACAAAGAAACGTTCAAATTGAATAAAATAGAATGTTGCTTTACCTGTAATCGAAAAATAATTCTTCGCCGGGTTGAATAGCTCTCTTGGCAAAAATACCAATTCTATGGTCACCGTTTACCATCATCACTTTTGCGTAACAATTTGGATTTATCGAATGATTGGCGAATCTTATTTTATTTCCTTTTCGCGTAGCATCCACGACAAAGTCTGAAAGTTAACGATAGACAAATTCAGAAAACCAGCCAGATTGCTTATTCTCGAGTTTAAGGATCCCGCAAATTAACAACCATCCACATTTTACACGACTTTTTACCATTGTTAAGATTAAAGAGAAAACTGCACATGTATTTGTCGTATACTTTGCCCCTTCGATCAGCTTCGTCTTGACTTATAATTTCACCACAATATTCCGAGATAAATTCGTTCTTTGCCGCAGATTCTTTAAGAAATATTCCCCAACCAGCCACGTCGGATGGCGCCATTAAAAGGTGTTTATCTAAAAAGATTTCTTCGTTCGACACGCGGTGGAAAAAGATATTGTTTAAATAAAATAAAAGATCCATCACGTACGGAGACCACGTTGAACGCTAACGTTTTTGCAGGATATTTTTGTAATATGAAACTGATCTGCACCGCATGTTTGGCAAAGATCCGGATCGCATTCCCTTACAGCCAGATAACACGGGCATTGCTTTGTGTTGCACTGAGCTTTACACCTACATCCCGGGAAACGATTTTGACATTCGCTGCTGCACTGACAAAACTTTTCACAGAAATTCTGAGCCTGTATACATGGACACGAGTTGTCGCACTGTCTTCCTGGATGGTCGCACGGTGCAAAATTATGGACATGATTAGCACCTTTTAAGAGAAAAACAGAAATTACTTTTTCAATTAAAATCAAACTCGATGATGAAATTACACGTTACTTATTCCATTATGCATTCTCCCATATTACCAGAGTCCTTCTTCAGCTGTATCTTTCTACAATGCATCGACCAAAGTCGATGTTTCTTTTTTTTCTTTCGTGGCGGAGTAAAGTCTTTCAAATTTTCGATCGCAGGAATATCCGAGGCCTCTTTTTGAGCAAATTGGTAAACTTCTTGACAAGTTTTTGTTAACATGATCTGTGCCAATGCACAAGGATTGCCAGGAAAAGCTTTATGAAGGGCGCGAAACAAGCTTTGCTCCGAACCAGTCCACGAAACTTCGCTTTCTGTTTTTATACGTTTATCGAGACCCAGAAGCGTAAACGGTACTTGGTTTTCCGGTTGTGCTTGATCTTCCATCGACTCTTCCGGCTTTGTTTCTTTATTAACGTTCTGTTTGAAATCTAGTACGATAGATATTAGACGATAGTTGTTAACAAAGTGTAGAACGCGGTGTTACCGAATATCTCCCACCTTTTACACAATTTATTACTTCTGATAGTATGAACCGAGAGATTATATTATAAAATTACTCTTTTATACAACAAATAATTTACCATCTTACCTTGACAGCCACCTCCCTGGCTATATTTGTTGCTATCGTTGCTGTCTTCGCTGCTAGCTTCGTTACCAGAATCTACGCTTGCTTGTTTCCGTACTTTTCTAGGACCTCCACGTTTCTCGTCGCTTTCCTCATCTTTTATATCAGCCGCTTGAGCTGCAAGTTTTTCCTTCATCCCCTCCTGTAAACGAACAAAATACCCCTATGCCTTTCTATCATTCGTTACACATCCATCCATCCATACATACATGTACATTTCCGATTAACGAGTATACATATGTATATTACTTTTTTTTTTTTCTTTTTTATTTACCAAATGCATGTAACATTCCGTTCCACACGGTTCGGAAAACGGTTTCAGATCAGGTCCTTTCCGTTTCTGTAGATTCGGTCCCGGATGACAGACTTGAAGACCTATAAATAACGATTAAACTATACGAAAAGGAAAATAAAGAAACTAGGTGATCTTAGTAGACGCATCAACGACGCATGAAATACAATTGCGAATCAGTCCTTGACGATGTCTTTCTGCTAAACGACAAAAAAAGAAAAGAAAAGAAAAGAAAAGAAAAGAAAAGAAAAGAAAAGAAAAGAAAAAGAAGCATTTGCTCGAACACGATCGTTTGTATGCAATGTTGTTCTTTACCTTGCGGCGATGATCCCCTGGCTGCTACGATAAATCAGGAATCATAAATTATTGTAATTAACAGATGTGTGTGTGTGTGTGTGTTCATTTAAAACGGGAATCCAGTATGTATATGGGCAATATACACGGTGTATTTTGGTATACCGATTGTAAACAAGTTATGGTGTAGAAATTCTAGATAGAGTAAATTTTACACGGTGTCGTAATTGTACTCACGGTGAAGAAAGCAGTCGTATTTGAAACATCTTCTGCAGAAAAGCGTGTGAAAGGAATGCATCGTCTGTTCCCTTGGTACGCTCTTAGCATTCGCTCCATCGATATTCGGCGTACACTCGGGTGGCAAAACATTCGGGTCCGATCTTTCCGTTAATTCTATGTATTTTTCTTTTAATTCTTCGGGTCTACCTTTGTCAGGGAATATACTAGATATCGCCTGAAATTAATAGAGAACGTTGCAGCAAACAGGAGAAAACGTTTGCCCATTTAGCTTACATTGAATATATGCATAGATGGAAACGGATTCCCATGCATTTTCGAGTCTTCCAACGACTTTTCGGTTTTAACTTCGGCCTTGATATTACTATCCTTTCTTTCTTTATCCTCTTCCTTTTCCTTTCCTTTCTTCGTTTGCTCTCGGTCTTTGTCCTCTTTTTCATATTGCGTCAAAGCATTAACTAAATCCACAAATATCGAATCATCCATAAAACCGGATTCTCGATCTCCGTGTACCTAAAATTTATTAAATTTAATCTTTTATGCGTCTGTATTTTAAGACCAAATTATATACCGTACACGATCTAGCCGCTTACTTTTCCATCATAATTTTTAATCAATTCTTCGATAAATGTACCATCTTGGTCTAAAATTTCATCACCCATATAAGGTATATTATGTAGCACCGTTTCATCTTCGACCATAAAATTTTGCTGTATAGGTGCCCAGGTATACATGGTTGGTATCGGCGTAACTGCATTAATGATTTTAACAGGGCACGTTTGTGCATCTCCGTCTGAGCTAGTAACTTCTGCTTTCTTCATACAAGAGACATGAGGCGGGATATCCTGCATAGCTAACCACATTGCCTTTCCGTCTGCCCATCGTTTTTGTTCGATCGTTAAGAGCTCTAATGGCATAGTTCGAGTACCAATTACACACGCACACACGCACACACGCACGCACGCACGCGCGCACACACACACACACACACACACACACATAGATATTGTAAATTTACAGAGAAGAAAAATGACAATGCTACGAAAACGAGCAACATGATTGGAAATTGTAATTTCTCAATAGTTATTATGAAGCGAAATATTATTGATTTAGTTGGAGAAAATGTAGGTGTACTAACCAGACATGAACTTGCGATTTTGATTCCAAGCTATCTTTACCTCGTCTGCTCGCTTATAGCGTTTCATTTGTCGTAAACGCATGTATTCGGATTTCACGCGCTTTCTCCATTCTGCAGAAACTTTTGCTTTCGACATTGCAACGAAAAGTCAATTCATCGTTAGCAACATCATCACCGGTACAAGATTAAATTATTAATAAAATCGATGATTCGATGTGCAAGTACACGATGATGACGATTATCCGTGATCCCCGACAACACCTGTGTGGTGTTGTTGTTGTTTTCTTGTGTCATAGACCAGGTATACGAATAGACTTTCCTTATTTCTCCATGGACTGTTCGTGGCCCATGCAAACACGTCCTCTTCTCATGGATGGCGGTCACTTGAGAAACTACTCGTTGAATTAGTGCGCGATGGCCAACAAAGACTGTAGCGTGTGTGGTATGTCAGTTTGAATCGCAGACGCGTTGGTCGGATTAATAAAGTATGTACGTACATTTTCGTTTAATATTAATACGTTTCTGCTGTAAATTGACTCGGAATTGTGAGAAAAACTGAATCGTATTTCTCACATTTTTATCTAACCGGCGTCGATTCATTAGCTCTCTCTAAACGAGAAATTACGTATTTTTTTATATATTATTTAAAGTTCAATTATTATTTAATACTATGATTAGATATGTATGTTTACTGTAATGCATTTGATTTTAATTTCTATTTTATTTCTGTCTGCAATCTCTGATTGGAATTGTAGTAGGGAGAAGGGAAGCTACCGGCTACCGGCTACCGGCACGTAATGCCACCTATCAACCAACAGTGCTGCTAACGGAACAAGTTCAAGGTTGTCTTGATTCGTTCTGTGGATTTTCGCGCGAGTGGACGTATCCTCAGTCTCCAGCCTAATAAGGTATCTACGCTTTAGTTATTGATATCTAAACGCTTCTAATCACCACTATTGCTCTCCATTACTCTCCAACGGTGCCTTCGTTTAATATTAATACATTTTTTACTATAAATTTAGTCGGAATGATAAAAAAAGTGAATCAGACTTGGCGCGTTTTCTTCAATCTAGTCTAACCGGCGTCGATTCGTTATATCTTTCTACACGAAATTACATATCTCGTACATATTATTTCAAACGAAATTATTCTTTAATTGTAATTAGGTATGTTTAGTGGGGTGAATTTGATTTTAATTTGTATTTTATTTCTGTCGAAGTCTGACCAGCAGCACGACGCGACGTAGTGTCGAGGCCATTACACTTGGACACATTGAAATCGCGGCAACTTCAAATGGTCTAATAAGGAAGGATTGGTAAAACTTGTATACATACATATACATATTATTTTTACATTTTTGTCGGAAGCATTTTATCCATGTGTCGGTGTTGAGATTAAATAATCGATAGATAATTTTTTAAATTGCTTTATTATCGATTTCAATTTAATGGGAAATTAAATGGGAATTAATTGTCGTATTTTATTGGATTTTGATCGCGATAATATATGTATAATATATATAGATATATATTTCCGCGTGTAAAATATTTATTGAATTTTTACAAATTTTCCAAGTTTTCTATGCAAGCTGAGTAAGATATAAGATAAAAGATAAAAACTACGTAATTAATTTCTACCGTTCGGGCATAAATAAATAAGAAAGTTTAATTTTTGCACATTTCGGAATGTTTATAAAAATCGAAACATGTATTGAAATGAAATTCAGTTAATACCATTACGCTTACGACTATAGTAAGAAAAGGCTGGTATACATATACATATACACACATACACACATACACACATACACACATACATATAACTGTGAATACTTGAAGGGGCATTTTAAATAAAGGTGGTTAATTATTTTCAGCGTTGATCAGTTATACGTACATATTCTCCGGGGCCTGTAATAAAAATGAAAGTTTACCGTTTACGTCTAATACGGTTACGTGTACATATGTGTTGATAAGGTGTATAGATAGATATACGTGTGTATTTGACGTATGTATTTCTTACCTACGAGACTGAGTAATACGGGCAAAAATATAAGACCATGCGCGGCGCCAAATAGCACAATGCCCAAGTACATTCTAAAGTAAAATATTTGAAATATTTGGTTTTTCGAAAATGCTAATACGATGATTCCTATAATTTTCGTTAAAGTAATTCCCGAGAAAACCTGTGGAATGGATAATAAGCGTTTGTAAATTTGTCGTAGTTGTCGTGAGAAAGAAAAGATTTCCATAGAACGTATCTATGTTATTAGGTTTTTCTGTACAATAGATATACTTACGGAACTTCCCATTTCGTTAAGAGTCTCGATAGCTCGATCAATTTTTGTTACTGCCGCGGAATGTAAATACGAATGTATAATGTGACTGGAAAATTCTACGGAAATGCCAACGGCCTGTAAGAAAAAATATACATGGTATATCCGCGCTGGAACTGAATTTTAATTGGAATTTGTTAAAAGCGAGAGTGGAAAAGGAATAATCGATGGATATGTATCTTATTACATACCACTACTAAATTTACGAGAGAGACTGCGTTCAGTTGAATATTCCACCAATACATAAGACCTCCTATGTTTACAACGATCATGAATACGGTGAGTAGGACCGTAACGGCCGAAAATAATGAAAATCCAGATAGCAACGCAGTCACAACGAATATTACAACGAGAGAGAGGCCCAACGATGATATCGTTTCTTTCCAGATCGTAAGATATTGTTCGTAGTAGACGTAGGATATGCTGCGAAGAGAATTAAAATCGGAATAATAATAATAATAATAATAATAATAATAATAATAATAATAATAGTTTCAGATTTCCGACGGATAAAGGTAATAGGCAATATGTTTGTAACGTTTACAAACCTGTATGGGAATACAGTTATATTTTGATCGGTTAAACTTTGGTTGTTTATCATATTTGTGATGTTTTCGGCTATCGTTCTTGCAGATTTCAGCGATTCGTACCAATCGGATGACTTTTTTAAAGGGACGTGGTAGCCCATAAAGTAACTGTCGCCAACATCGACCAGTCCATATTTGTCCACGTGGTAATTAATTCCCTGTGTGAAATGAAAAATAGAAATAGAAATAGAAAAACGGACGGTGTGCGTAACGAGAGGAATAATCGAGTTACATCGAGATACGATGGCCGACCAGATTTCGCGCAATCTTGATTCGGAATGTCTTCCAGAAAGTACGGTAGATATTTTCGAAAACTGTTTACGTCTGGTCGAGAGTGAATATTTCGAATGTCGCACGGACTGCACGTGCCAACTAGAAAAAGAAAACAAGCTTGTGATGCGTGCGTGCGTGCGTGCGTGCGTGTATACATGTCTTAATAGTTTGAACGTTTGTATTGATACGGATTACCGTTAGTATGCGGACAAAATGATTGATTGTTCGGAAAGTACATGCAGCAGCCAGAAATCGTTGACCAGTCCATGTAATCGTCTATCCAGGAGGAAGCTGCTTTTGATAAATACGATCTAGAAAGTAAAGATATACGTCGTATGTATAGATAACGATCGGTAAGGAATTTAATGCGTTTCGATTGAAATAAATTTGATTATTTAGTGTACAAACACAGCAGGTTGTTTAGACGCCGAGTAGATTTGTGTGTAGAGAGAATCGGAATTACATCCTTGACCGCCACAAATTATGTTCTGAACATTTTTCTCGCTATAATTGAGTCCGGGTGTCAGAACAAAATAAACGGGTGGGCCCATCGACAACAGATCGTTCATAAACTGAATATTAATCGATACGTCGTTATTAGTTATTACGTATTGTTGTGTATTTTGATCGGATGTTTGTAGAAACGATCAAACGGATACGTTACTTGGAAATATTTCAACACGTAAGAATCTACAGGCATCGAAAGTTCTTGTTCCAAACCGATACCAATATTTGGTATCACCGTGGCATTTACAACCAGGGCGACAGAGAATACTATTATTACGATCGTTCTGATAGATGTCTTCATAATAAACGGCGTATAAAAACGTTTAAATATCGTTTGTACTAGATTGGAATTTTCATCAATTTCCAAATTTTCTTTGTTCGTTTTCACACAACAAAACACATCCAACAAATTCTTCTGAAATATCATAAACTAGCTTGAATCGTTCTCTTTGAGTAAAAATAGGATAAATGCGAGGCGCGAGTATTTTCTCTTACCTCGGATCTCCGAGTGTCCAGCGACAACAGACCGACGAAAGCTGTTATTTGTAAGAAAAAGTTTACCAGGATAGACACACACGCGTAAAGCGCAAAAGTACGAACAGCTGGCATCGTGGATAATGCTCCTGCAAAATGGAATATTAAATTCGATTTATTCTACATACATGTACATAAGTACTTATGTATATGATATTGCGGTGAAACGCGATTAATCTCTGCTCGGCCGTGGATAAAATAGCTTGGAAAACGAGGTTTCGTTTCTACCTACTAACCGATTAAGAAACAAAGACACTCGGATGTACTGGTGAGCAATATCGACGGACCAACTTTCGCCATCACTCTTCCTACATGGTCCGATATCGTTTCTTCCGATTTTTTTGGATTTCTTTGATGAGTTTGGACCAATATGAAAATGTTATCCACTCCCACGGCTAATACCAAGAATGGAATTACCTATAGACGATTAATTTCTATACCTTTTTCTAGTTTTTCTTCATTCTCGTACAAGTTTTGCTCACCTCGATCGTAAGTAAGCTCGTGGGTAGTCCGATATAGCCAAATATACCAAGCGAACAAGCTACGGATGCCATCACTATGATAATTCCACCGATACTGAGCATCATTTTGCTCTTTGCCTGTAACCATACGATTTAAACAAATACCTATACGTATGTACATACATACATACATACATACATACATACATACATACATACTTACATGCATACACTTAAGAATTTGAAAAATAGTAAACTTACAAAGTACCCTTTGAAACTACAGTCCATTTTACCCAGAGCAAAGGCAACGTAAACAAACATTAATGCATAACTGAAAACCATTGTCGACACTTCGGCTTTCGACGATCGATCCAATTCATCTTGAATCGATTTCTCTGTATTGTACGCGACATCCATAAATTCCGGACGTTCGTTGCTGTCCCATTCTTTCATAAAATGAATGAATCTGAAATTTCGATAACGATAATAAACGATTTCGATCGTTCATTTCTCCCCTTCTCCTTGTTGTTTGAGAATACCGCTAGTTACCGCTGTTCCCACTTGTGTACAGACTCGACCACAGATTCTTCCAACGAGTTTTTCACCAGAAAAGTTAAAACCAATCCCGTTGCCTTTATATAATCTCTCGAATTATAGTTGAACTCATTGTCCCGAAGAAAGCCACCGTAGGCTATTGCTGGCACGACTGGCCCTTTGTACGGTGCCATACAGGCAGGACTGTATGAATTTCTGTTAAAACAAACGTTTAAAAGTTTCATTTTATAATGGATATTTAACCAATCGTACTGATCCGTCTATGTAAACTCACTGCGCGCACTCGTACAAATGATCCAAATAATTTCTTTCGTACGAATCTGATGTATCCGTTGCATTGAAACGTTCAAGATCGTTTTGAAAATATCCCCATACGCTTTGCACGGTGCAAAGATCCAAAGTAGTGGGTCCTGTAAACTCATTCTGTACAGGAGCGTAACAAATGCGTTCCAATCCTTCTCCAACCTCTTCTCCAATCTGTTTATTACAATTTACCCAATCTTTTATTTAACCTTCCTACTTGCACGGCAAATATAGTATGTACATATATGTATAGAGAAAGTTGTACTTGCCCGGAGAATTTTGTTTTGAAGCTCGTATACGGCGAGTAAAAATATTTTGTTAAATACGGGACCAAATTCAAGAACGCCGTTCGATGTATTGTGCAACACCTGCGATCCAATTAAACGAAACGAACGCCCGTTTAGATTTTTTCAACACCGTGTAAGTACACATGTGTACATATGTATATCTATATCTATGTATACGTGTGTGTGTGTGTGTGTGTTTATTTTGAAACATAGATTTACATAAAAGTAGAACTCGAGAAAGAGTTAGTTAGTCGTTGGTTATTATCGACTGACTTTACCTTATCGACTCCCACCGATTTTATGTAAACTTGTTCCGTCCTGTAGAAAGGTTGAAAATGCGAATCGAAATAATTTTTCTCGATTCTAGCTCTGCTAGTGGGTGCTGCCCAAATTTCGATCGGATCGCTCGTTATCGAGAGCCGAGTAATTCCGTAACTCAGTGCCAATATTATATACGAGATTGTAAAAAGCGTTATAATTGGGTATTCTGCGAATGCTGTTAAACATGGAATAATAATAATAATCGTAGTAATAAGATTAATAAGATAGCAACGCGCAATGTGGCCCGTGTACGATCTTTTACCGTGTCTAGGAGATTTCGAGCAACCAAACAGCTCTTTTACCACTCGATAGAAAATTATGTTGATGATGGTGTATACCTTTTCCCCAAACAGTGAAAAACGACCGGGACATCTCGTGCAAACTCCTCCGCCAATTTACATTCGATTTAGTCTTATTTTTCCCCGTTGTCCCTTTATCCTTGCTGCTATCTACAACCATTTATACAAGAATAGAATTAATTACGCTAAATACAATACGTGTAGGTACTTACATACGTGTATGTATAGCTTAACAACGCAATACCTGAACAAACGGGCCTTATCTTGAAAATTACCACTGCAGCGAATAAAATAACAACAGTAATTACAATTCCTGCTAAAACACCATAGCCGTTGTACCCGAAAATGGTAAAGTAGTCATTATATTGTTCGATTTTCGTGAATGGGCAAGCTGCGGGACAATCGACGCAGCTACATGCCGACAATTCCTATTTAGTTCGAGCAAGATAAATTTATGATATACATATACATACATGTACATATGTACATATACTTGAAACTGGTTATTCGTTCGGACTTACGTCGTATGTTTCGTTACATATTTTTACCGGTTCGTTCCACCCACTGCTATTACTGATGAAACGCATGTTGAAAGTTATAAAATCATTCGCAGTCACATCACCTTGATACTCGTACCATCTAAAATCAGTTACTTTCATCACAAATCCAATAAACTACGTTCTACAAAACGGTCTGTTTTCGTTTTTGCTGGTCGTCGTTGCAGCTCGTTCGTTAATTTACGTACATATTCAAACACCATTGTTTAAATTTATATTTACTTTGTTGCTGTGCACCAACTGGCTCCGTGAATTCCGCAGGCCAAATCCATAGCCAAATTTCCACTTGCTGGGTGAACGATATTTTTACACGAATCGAAAGTAGTATTCATGTATTCTTCCGCGATATGAACCTAACAAGCATACATATATTTGGAATACATATATTAAGGAAACGAGGGTAGGCGACGGTATGGGACGCTAGGCGAAACATAAAATGCCCAATTGTTTAATCTTTCAAAGGATATACCGGTTTTAGTCATTCCGTTTTTATGTCTTTATTCATATTTGTGTACCTCGACTGCTTTCACGTACTCTTTGCCCTCCGAATTTATACCAACGTCTTTTAGTTGTAGAAATCTACTCTGTTCAGGACTGCAACTTAAATCGCATATTAATTTGTATGCATTTTTTATACACGTTGGACATCTGCCAAAGATTCCATCGATCATGTTCGTCTGACCGAGCAGCGTTTTAATATTGTTACTGTCGCAACATAACTTTGGCGACTCTGAAAACAAGTAGACGACCGACGTGTTTGTTCAAGTAGAATTCTTCTCCGATCCGAAATACGTACCAGTGTCGATAAAGTATTGCGGGCATATATCACGAAGAAGCAACGCGATTGTTCGATTGTTGATCCGTCGAGGAGGATCATTGGACACGCACGTGTAATTCAAAGTTGGCTTTTCGACCGAGGGACCGCAGTCTCCGTACCATACGCAACGATACTGCTGCTCTCCATTACTATCTCCTAATCTCAACGCACAACAGAATATTAAGAAAATCCCGTGCATTCGGTTCCACCGAAACCTCCACTCAGATCTGATCATCTTTGAAACAATTTGAAGAAAATCCTTTGCCACTTTGCCCCCGCTTTGATTCTTCTTTCCTCCGTTCTCCGAATACCTACACGTTCGAATAACCTGGTTAAATTATTCCAACGCGGATAATAAACAAACACTCTACTCACTTTTTATCCTTTTTATATTTACATGGAATTCTGTTTAAATAATTGTTCTAAATATGAATTGATTTGGACTATTTAACGCGGTTACCGGTGCCTGTGCGCTGTTGTCGATCGATCGATTGCTCGCTCGCTCGCTCGCTCGCTCGCTCGTGTATCGAATACAATCTCTAGGCGTCGGGTATCTTTTCTCACGGTCGATTGATCGGCTTTGGGTAGAATAGTCTTTTTACTCTTTTTTTCCTTCCAGTATTAGGAGGAAAGAAAGTGGTATATAAATTTTTAATGGTCTAGATGTCGGCTTATACATTTTATATCTAATCGATACGATTGATACAGATCAATCGTTTGATTAGGCTGCACACCTGCGTCTTATCGCTGACAGATTTCAATTCTTGCTTCGAAAAACAACAGTTGCACGCATGGAATTCTGTATCGTTGATTGATTGATTGATTGATATCGTGCAATAAATTTTCAAATTTTTACGCTTAACCGACAAAGAAGGACAGTCGTGTGTAATAATAATAGAGCTCAACGGGATAAATTGGGTAATGTTAATCGCTTTAAAAGTTGTTTCGAAAGAACTTTTCCTCCATTTTCTCCCCCACTCCGATAGCTTGTTATTAAAGTCGTCGATCGCGGATACAGAGGTATAAATTAAAATGAATTATTATACTGGATAATCATATTTTAATGACTCAATGATTGTACAAATGGATCACTTTTAAACGTTTCCACGTAACCGAAGAACAATAACAATAAATACAGGAATGAACGGAATTATAATGTTGCTTACTAATTTGTAATTATACAATAGATGAAAAAACATAAACGATACGCAGTTTACATTGCGTTTGTATTCGTAGATGGAAAATTATCTTCATTCCTGGTTCACCGTATACGGTTGCATACGTAAACGAAGAAAAATAAACAATGTGGAAAGACGTGTTACATCGTTACTTTATCCTATTTTTGTTTCGTTATAATAACGTGACCCCACATCTGCCCACCCTGCTTCATACCCCGTCATCTACTATTCCCCTTATAATCTATAATAATTCTATCAACCATCTAAAATCTTTGTGTTCACGGGACACTAAAAGGTTTATTTCTTTCTCACTCGACCTTTCTCTTTTCATCATTTCTCTTTGCACGCATGCACGCACGCCTAACGCACACACACACACACACACACACACACACACACAACCATCCTCTGTCTCTCTCCATCTCTTCCATGGTCTTGGCCTTTTCGTGCTACATACATACAATATCATTCGCCGCTTCTCTTTCTCAAGTATAACATACATACGTGTACATGCACGGTGTCCGTAATCATACTGAATTTTATCGTCGTTATAATAGTATGTTACGTTCAACGATAGCGATAAAGTTTATATTAATAAAATTTGTGGAGAATGTCCAATAATCGTATAATAGATGATACATCTGTCGACGATCCTCTGCGACCAGGACAAAAATATGAAACTCGATACTAGGCCAACTATTAAGAGATACGCCTCGGAGCTAGAGTGTCTCGACCTCTATTTTCTATTTTGACCAAATTTTTTAGGAACTTGTCGGTTTTCCTAATACACTTTCAACGTTCATGGTTGCTGATTAGAAACAGTTTCGAGTCCGAAGAAACAAGTACCGAGCGTTTCGATATTTCTCATAAACTCTGACTATGTACATACATGCAGCATACGTGTAATGTGTAGAATGTGTTGAGCTTATTTAACAAACTGTGAACCATATAAAAAAATGTTTAGAGGAAAGTTATAAGGTATAAAGGAGACCAGACCACCCTGAAATGATGCCCCACACAAAGTTTACACGCGAACCAAAACGGTTTAGAATACGGCCAGTTTGTGCAACAATTGCAACGGCTGTGCTTGAAAATGTGGAAAAAGAAAAGACGGACGGCAGGCAGGCATATACCTAAAGGAAGGCCGAGGGGTCATTTACCTGATTCCCATTAATTCACAACATTTCTCAAAATTACGAATATACATACGTGAATTTCACGGAGCATTTCAAAGTGGTGGCAAACGGTCAACCACAATATTCACCCTTTATACCTCACAATTTTCTTCTAATACATTTCTCTATACCATTCACAATTTTTTCGATAAACCTGACACACTGTATACGCGTCTATTATAATTGATTATTAAAAAGTAACGTATCACCGAAAGGAATTTAACTGCAACAATGATTATTACATTTCAATGTTACCGTAAAGAAAATTATCCAATATAACTTTCTGTCGGATCTTTATCCAAATTTCATTTCTACTTTATAATCTCTCTCTCTCTCTCTCTCTCGCTCTCGCTCTCGTACGCTTTCTCTCTCTCTCTCTCTCTCTCTCGCTCTCGGTAATATGTACTATGTCTTTGAATTTAATTGTATTACTATCTTTATTATTGTTATCATTGCCGTTGTCGTTGTTAGTATTATTATAGTTAATGTTATTATTACGTTTTCCGTTCTTGTGACTATCGTAGTCATTTTCATGAAAAAATGCTATTCGAATGTTAGCATTGATTGTCACGAGTCCTGGAGTAACAGATACGCGAACGAGTATAATATGAAACATGAAAGATTTTTCAATGCGTGTAGATATACGCTATGTTTAATTGAAACGCAAACGATGATAAGCGTAGATTGGAGAGTGCATCAACTACGATAAAATACACTAGCGAGCGTATCAGACTTGGCATATCGAAACGAATTGATCAACCGCGAATTAGTTTCACCGTGACACATACGCGTTATACGGGTCGAGAAAAAAAAGCACGGACTCTCGCTCGGAGGCACATCTCGACAAAATTTATACAATAAAATTTTTCTCTATATATATATATATATATATATATATATATATAGTGGACAATGTAATAATACGAGCAACAGAAGGTCCTCCGTAAAGTTTCAAATCTGCACATGTCACGCCTATAGTAATTAGTAAATAGGTATTTAATTTTCTTCGCTCTGAAATATTAACCAATACCCTATTTTAAATACATACTTTGTTTATATGCGCATACGTGGATTCGTGCGCTTGTAACGCAAGGGTGTGGTTGTGCTGTATGTGCGCACGTAAGTACTATTGGGAGACGAGATATCCATATGGTTCCATACAGACTATCCATAAGCTAAACGAGACACATTTGCAACGGGCAAAAGGAATCGTTTACAGGCTCCACCAAATTCCCTCCACTCTTTCGGTTCTTGGCTCTTTCAGGGGCTTGGTTCCTCTGGAGGGGATTAGGTGGATTGCCCGTTGCTCGGTTTTCAACTTACACGTGCCATCGCGTCTCGTCTCATCGATAGTATTTTCCATGTCGAACGAACAGGAGAGCACAATGCGAGCGTATGTATCTACATATACATATGTAATGTATGTATGTATGTATGCACTTATATGGTAAAATTCTTTTATCGTATCGTGCAGCTATTCCGAAATTCTTGAATCTTGTGAGATTCAATTCACCATTGTGAAACGTGAAACCGTTTATTCAAGAATCATCTATTATTAATCAACGTCGCTGATTAAACGCAATAATCTTAATTTTTAACTGCCGATCAAACGATATATGTATGTACGTCTGTATATGTATATTTGCTGAAACGTGAA